TCACTGGATTGTTACAACATTCCTGACAACATGTTTTCTTCCCCCTCCCCACCCAACAGTAGAATATAATTAATATGGGTTTATACAATTAAAGCATTACTAACTTTAGAAGACTTATGTTTATGGTTTATTTGTTTTTGTTACCTAATGAGTAACCCTGTTTGTAGTTAAATCCCGGGGTGCCCCACGCGTGGCTGTCGCGCGAACTGTTATGTAATTGCCTTGCATGCATTCGCATAATGTGCGTGCTTACATTACACTCTCTCACTTCTCACTACTCACCATCTATCAATCTCACCATCATATCATCATTATTGAAACTCACATCACCCTTGCTCACAGACTCAGACTCAGTATCGATTCGAGTGATCGAATCGATACTGCTACCGCCGCGTGCACCGAAATCAAATAACTGAGTAGGCCTACTCAGTGACGACCGAGATCAAATACGCGTTTCCGAATCCGAATACCGTCGGTTACTGGCAACTCACTCTCACCCTATCACCTGTCAGTCATTGTCAAGTCATAATTACTCACTCAGAACTCACTCACAAGGACCTGCTCACAGAACCACTCAAAAAACCACTCACTCATGCACGCGCTTGGCTTGGCTTTGGCTTTACATTGTATTCTGCAGTGCTGCACTTTGCTGCATGTTATTTCCCAAAATGTACCCCCGCATACTTTTAGTTTATACTTTAATGTAAGTCGTCGGTGCTAATTATTAAGAAATAATAATTGCATTTGTGTTTTTGTTGGTTTAAAATATAATTTTTTTATTTATATCATCAATAAAGTTAGAAAAAGGAGGGACCCAGAAAGTCCCTCACATATCAAAAACAGTTTTGCACCCCTCCCCCTATACATGACAACAAATCACTCATCAGACTCCTTTCGTTGTTAGATGTGGATACACATGCTGTAGTGGGCAACATCGTCTCGCATTCAGCAGTTGTTTTACTTTGAAATTAAAGATGAAGAAAACCTGATTGGAATTGAAGGAGAACCAGGTACATCTGACTGTTGAAGTACATTGTTTCTTTGACTATCTGCAAACTCAAAATGTTCTTTGGACGAAGACATTCGAAGGATATAAAAACTCAAAACTCATGTTGTTGTTTTTTTCTTCTGAAGAATACCCATACGTGATGATGGAAATACTGGGGCAACGCAGGTTTTTTCATGAAGACAGTGGAAGCAAATCACGAGAAGCATTTTGCCTTGATGTGTGACTTCGGCTATTTCTTGCAAGAGAAGTTTTAATCATTGTGTTGAAGAAGAACCTTTGTCTTGAAGAAGATACAAATCCATTTTTGGTTCCATAAAATTCCACATAGTCGTTGCTGTTTTCGTTTATTATAAAATGCGAGCAGGATAATGCACTTGGTTCAAGTTTTGTATATTTCAAGGGGCGCAGTTGTTTCTGTTCCTGACAATATACCCCAAGGAAGCATCTAATGGAAAATGTTCTTCAATTCATGCGAGGAGCATCTATACAAGAATTAAACCTGGCACATGTAAATATTTCAGTAACAATAGGCGCGTGCCTTTCATTCAGCTTTCCTAACTACAAGAAGATTGACAGGCTCACCCACGTGCCAACTTTGTAGCAGTGCATAATAATGCTCATAAATGACACGATAAACTATCACCTGCCTCCATAAGGGGTCAAAGGGTCAAATGATTTGCATGCAGCGGCCCGGGACCCCCCAGGTCAGCCTTTATGTGCTTCTCAAAAGATGGAGGTATTCACAGGTGGTAAGTTGTTACAAATCCAAATAGTCCACAATTCACTCAGACAACGCCCCGAGAGGAAAATCGATATACATGAATCTTGTTGACAAAAAAATCGCACTTGGCTTACTATATAATAAATAAAGATGGTTTTAAAGTTAATAGCCACCAACTTACAAAAAAGAGAGCATGAATTCGATATTGTTTTTTTTACTCAGTAACCAAGGCATTGTGACAAAAGTAGGGTCTCAGAGTCGGGGATAAAATAATGAAATACAGATGAACAGTGATTCAAAGATACGCTAATAATTTTCTACACATGTTTCAGAACCTTTCAACAAAAATGTCACACTTGGATCAAGAAAAAATACAGATGGGGTTTAAAGCTAATGGCAACCAAACATACTAAAGAGGAGTGATTCAGTCATACATTTTGAAATTAAAAACAACCACTGTGGTGTTCCCAACCTAGGTTCTCAAAATAATGACATAGATGGCAAGTGAACAAAGTGAAAAATATACACAAATAATTTCTACACAGGTTTCAAAACTTGTCGACAGAAAAATTCGCACTTGGCTCAAGTAACATAAAAATGATTTTGAAATTCATGGCGACCAAACATACAAAAGGACAGTGATTTGGTCATACATTTCCAAATTAATAATTGTAGCATTCCCAAGTCCTGGAGAAAATATTGAAATATAGGTGGATATATGCGATGTGAAACATACACAGATAATTTCTACACAGGTTTCAGAACTGCTTCCCAAATTCCACTTACCTCAAAGTCGGAGTTTGTTTCTGACTTACCGGTGTGAAGCACAAACCTTGAAATTGAAGCACACATTCCACAGAAAAATTCCACAGATAAATTCCACAGATAAATTCCAAAGGCGGCGTCACAAACAGTTCTTCAAAAATCCAGGACCATGGCAGAGTGGACGCTGTTTAAGATATTCAGTTTTATATAATTCAACTGTGTTCATTTTAATTTTGTCACTGTTTGTAGCAAAGTTTGTTCAAGAGTTTACTGCTCTTAAAAATGACATGTCAAGTTCGGAGCTCCACTGACATGACTGAGTTTTTCATGCCAAGGCTTTTCAGAGTTTTGGCATTTTGAAATTCACCAAAGTTCGGTTAAAGTTTCTGCATACTATAACTCACAATTCCACTTGCAGAAGTCCGTGAAAAATGAGAAGAGTTTGGAGTAGAGTGCTGCGAGCTCGTACTCAGCAACGAGGGACAGTCGGAGCGTGGAAACCCGGTCACTGTACGCAGTCAGCATGCACGTTGCCTCCCGTTAGACGCACTCGAAAATTGTCTTTATCGGAGAAAATTCTTCACTGAGGTCCTCGACTCGAGGCTGAAGTATTACCCGCATTGTCCTCTTCAAGTTAGTAGGATTATCACTTCTCAACGGTCAAAAATCCCGCAGAAAACGCATCATTTTTGTGGACAAAAGAAAAGAAGCAGCCATTCACTCCGAAAAAAGCGAGCACAAATAACTTCAAAAAGTTTGCGCCCAAACAAGAAAGCAAGTGGGACGGTGAGTGATCAGGCTAAACATGCAGTATTAACACGACAATTTGGATTGTGTCCGTGCGCGGTCAGATTTTACCCCCTTATTGGCCTAAAATTGAGTTCTTTCGAGCAAGTTATACCTCCAATCAAACCTTTTGTAATAACTAGATATTACAAGTTTAACAATCTGGTGATTGTGGCAAAAATAGGCTGAACACTGGAAGAAATCAGCGCGCACTATTTTCCTTGACGGGTAGAGATATCGAGATGAGCCCAGCTGAATCGGTCGGCCTGACGCCGGAGAGTGACTGCTATTGGTTGGAAGTGGAACAACAATAATTTTGATTGGCAGATGGAGAATGCTAAAATGCAGCTTTTTACGACGCACTTTGACACTGGTTTACGAAATCATGGCTTCTTTTCCGTTTTGGGGTTCAGGAACTAGTTTCAGGATTTAATTCCATGATGGACTCAAGTACAATCTTTCATGGTCAATTTTAAGCGACACCTTGTTTTGTCACACAAGGCCAATGGTTTTGATTGTATTTGTTGGGTTTGAACACAGCTGAAATCTTACGAATCTTCAGTTGGAGACGAAGACTGTCTGCCGAAATAAAGCCGGGGATTCGATACCTCAACAATATTGCTTATTATTATATCTCTCAGTACAAATAATGACAGTTACTGGAATCTGGTTTTTATACAACATCTCGATATTTTTTTTTAGGGGGGGGGGGGGGGGGGAGGGGGTTGATGGGTCCGGGGGGGGGGGTTGAAGTGATGTCTCAATAACTGTTACTTAAGCCGTAACTAGGTTATATAGGCATAATGCAGGTACGAGGAAGGGTCACGAAATAAAGCTCTTTCATCTGACCCACTTCTGACTTACCAGATAGAAGAAGAGAAGTGTGACATTTTCTAACACACCTCCATATATTTCCTTTGAAGTAGTTATTAAATGCACCATAAGTTATACAATTATGTGCATTAAATTAAGAGAATTGTTATTATGACATGCTCGCGGCTTTCTAATGAGGGCGCTCTTTATAGTACAAGATCCACATTCTCATCACGCTCAGGCTCTTTTATTTTCTTAGACGTAGGACTTACTGATCTCTTTGCTGATATCCTACAGGGTTGGGGATATGTCAATTTGTGTATTTTTGTGTTGTTTATCAGGGAAAATCACCTTTGCTCACGGTGTAGACCTGCACAATGTATGGAGTAAAACGACACTTTCTTTAATGTTGAAATATTGAAAGTAACATAATAGGAAAAAAAATGGGATACAAAATGTGAATTCGTGGAAGACGTTTGCGAAATGTTAAATTATTGACGCAAACTGAGCCACCAATCAACCTTGAAATAATAAGTGATTACCAATCAACCTTGAAATAATAAGTGATTAAGATTGGCAAGGTTATGCCTGTGCCATGCTCTTGGGAAAATCCTTGTTATCATAATAATATTATTCAAGTATACGCAATTGGGTAAAGTAAGATTTCTTTTCAGTTTTTACTCGCGTTTAAAAGTTGATGATAAGAGTAGAAGACACATTAGCTTAGCTTTACACACAAACAAAATTTAAAGACAGGGCAAGAATTCAAATCGATTTTGTATCACATGTGTCATTTAGAGAACACCATAAAAAACTGTAGCTGGTTCCAATTCTTCACTACCGGAAAAGCGCTCAAAACGCCGGGTGCCAAGTGGTGTTTTGATAGGTATGCATTATACATCTAGCGTGTGTAGCAACCAGTCGACGACTGATCCATCGAGAAGCTTCATTGGAGATCTAGATAATGACGGGAAATGAGTTAGAATTTCGAGATTTTACCTTTTAATGCCCAATAACTCCTCCAGAATGTAGCATCATAACTATTGTTCTACTGTTTGCGTTCATGGCGGCCCTGAGACCTATGGCAGGCCAGATTTGCGCGTCTTGTCAGGCACCGATTTCACAAGGTCTGCGAAGTCAGCGGGCAACGTGCCCGACGTGCGCCCGGAGTTTCCCGGCGGCAGCTCGCCGTTCACCCGGTGCTGTACCGCTTGGCCCTAGCGGAGTCAGTGGTGACATCGGGGTGTTTGACTCACAGCAGGGAACGACAGAGGGGGAAAATGACAGATTACCGTCGTTACGGACGCCTTCTGCTGACAAAAATGTGAGGAATGTACTTTATTTAAGGGCAATTCCGTAAATTTTAGCTTAAGTTTAATGAGCTGACTGTGGTGTGGAAAAGTGAATGTGATTCACTAGTAGTAGTAATACTACTAAATAGGCCTACTGAGCAGAAAACAATACACTTTACAGACCGAACTATTAAATTACATGTGGTCAGACGGGTGTTGGATTACGAAATTGCCCTTTATACGGAATAAAGGATATTATTTAATTCTACCTCATGAAAACTAGTGGCTATAGACTCCTCTCCTGGCAATATGTATTTTGCGGAACTTGTAGAACGTGCGGAACTCTGCAAAAAAATAAAGATATATTCCTATAATATTCTGCAGAGTTCCGCAGAGTTCTGCTCGCTCTGCAAGTTCCGCACAATACCCCACCTCATGAAAACATGAAAACTAGTGGCTATAGCCTACCCTCCTGCCATGTATTTTGCGGAACTTGTAGAACGTGCGGAACTCTGCAAAAAAATGGAGATATATTCCTAGTTCTGCAGAGTTCCACAGAGTTCTGCATGTTCTGCAAGTTCCGCAAAATACCCACACCTCGCAGTTGAAAATCACGTATGCAGATCCCGACGCTACCTCTTTTCATCGCTTATATATATAAAAAAAAAAGCTGTAAAAAAGGGGAGCATAAATTGTCTTTTCTAACATTTGGATTTTGTCAGTTCATGCTAAAATTAATGTTAAAAGGGCAATTTGTAGAGTCCTAGTTAAATAGAAATACTCAAACTACTTGGTTGTCTGTATAAAGTTATAATGTGCTGAAAAAAAATGAAAACAAAATAAAGTTACAAAACATTATTAGAAATAAGATTTGAAAATGTTCTAGAGACTCCATTGCCTACATGTACACGCTCACATCACCAAAGTTCTTCAGGATCTTTTTCCATTTACTCCCCCCCCCCCCAAAAAAAAATTCACACAAGGAATAAACCTGAGTTTTATGGGCATAAGTGGGTCATATTAGAACTGAAAGAAATACCCACAAAATCAGCTTTGAAGATTTCTCATAACATTGCCATCAACGATCTCTCCCTATGATTGTATATCCTGAACTGAATGATGCATACATTCCTATTGAGTACTGTTGTGGTTTGCCTGTAGGAGCAGCCAGTAGGTCATTGACTACATGCTTAACAACACATTACACCCTCAACAAAATGTGGGAGGAAAAAGGTATACAATTGACCTACATATATCGCAGTAAAATCGCGCTAAAATCGCGTCAACGCAGCTTGTGAAATATTGCATGGATGCGGATGGCGCAACATATGAGACAAACAAAACTAAGTGTAAAAAACTCCATATGGTTGTCTAAGGGGCGTGGCTAACTCGCAAACGGCGATGCATGTAGGTCAATTGCTGATGCTCAGTTGCATTCACCTCATTAAAAGCTTGATTTCAAACGAGTTTGTTCACACACCATACATAATTATGTGATCACTGTGGCTTCTAAAAGTACACATTGTTGATCATAAAGTGTCGTTTTGTGTGAAAGGGACACTACGTCGTGGAATACACCTAAATGGGTTACAAAACGTGCTTTGAACGAAATGATGTTAATCGGAAAGAACTGTTAGAATTAGGATAAACCCACACGTTCAACTATCCTTTAACAATCTAAAACAAAAATGCATGTGAGGAACAATTTATTCATGTTATTGCAAAATAAAAAGAGAGGAAAAGTACTTTATATTATATCCGAGACACCCCCCCCCCTCTTTATCCCCCTTTCCAAACACACACAAAATTGCTAAAAATAATGGGCATTTTATAGAATTGTTTTTATCATAATGATCCGTGAGACCACTGGGAAGCTATCCATTGCAGAACAAAATTGGTTCAGTTATTTTACAAGTTTTGACTTGAGGTAAGATTACTTTTACTGTGATTACAGTGTTGAAATTTAATAAAAAAATCCTATAACATGCCCATTATTTTTAGAGTGGGTTTTTTGTGTGTTTGGGGAGGGGGATGGGGGGGGGGGTTGTCTCAGATATTTCTAGACAAGCACTTTTCCTCTTTTTTACTTCAATAATATGAATGAATTGTTCCTCACATGCATTTTTTTTTCAGATTTATCCAGCAAAATAATGAAGTGTTCACACATATGTGCATGCAGTAACAAAAACATTGTCTTCAATGACAACCTTAATTGTTGAGCATTTCTTGGTAACATTCAACATGTAGATGACCACAGTACAAGAGGTTTCTGAGCTGCTCTCTGATAACAAAAAGACTCAGTTATTGATTAATTTCTATCGAGGCAGAAATCTATGTGTGCCAGGCATTGGAACGATTTCAGATGTACATTGTGTAGCCTTCCCATTTGGGATAGTGCAGATCAATAGTCCTCCATTGTGCCGTACAGACATGGTTACCGTTTGTACGAAGACCTACATGCGTAAATAATGCACATGGTTTTTCACAATCCACGTTAATGTATAACGATGTACCTCTATGTTGTCACATTTGTTTGACTTGCATAAAAACTGTAAGGTGATCATATTTTTCACTCGAAAGTACCCCAGCGGTTCAGCAAATTTATCATGTTCAGATACTGAGCAATATCCTGTGAGTCATTGTTCAATGGCATGGTACTATCAATTAACCCATTTTTATTTCTATATAGGCCCCTATTTGTAGAAAAAGGGGGAAACACTTGATATTTATTAATATGTCAGTCAGGATACAAAAAAAAGGTTTTGTACACAAAAAAAAGATCCCTGGAACAGAATAATTGTCGTGCATGTTGTGAATGTATTGTTTATGATTACAAATGATAAATTCATAAATTTGATATTTTAGGGTGTGCAGTTTTAAATTTGTCAACCTGCATGTACATGTACTGTTTGTTTATATACAGTAATTTAATTTGACCCATTATCAGTTTGGACCCTATCTCTTGCAGTGAAAAAAAACAGGGTTTTTTTTGGGGGGGGGGGGTTGGTTTGGTTTTATAATTTTAATTACATTAGTACATGTATAGTCATTTATTATACTTTAGGGGAAAAAGCTCTTCAAATATTCTTGTTTTATTTTTATTTTTTTTGAAGTCACATGTTGCAAATGATGAAACTCACAATAATTTACCATGTTCTTCTTTTTATTACATCTCCTCCCCCTTCAACCCACCATTGTCGCTGAAATTTAATAAACCATTGTTTCTCAACATCTCATCTTCCTGGTAAACATTCTGTGCCATCAAATAAAGCGGTGGCCCTCTGCCATGATTGTTGTCCCTGTAATCATTACAGGATTCCCCAGTAGCAGTTTAGTTTGATGGGTAAATAACATGTCGGATATTAAACGCATGTCAAGTAGCAACCACTGGTCACCGATTACTCTGTGATTAAATAATGTCAGAGGCAGATTGTGATGTTTGTTTTGAAGTCGTAGCAAGGTGTGTACTTGTCACTACATGTAGTTGTTACATACTGCGGTCATGTTTGATAGTCGCATGTAGAAAGCCAGACTAATTAAACTTTCAGGTTTTTTTTTTCAATGTGGAAAGCAAACTAACTGTAACACCGCACAGCAAGTTTTTAATTTGTTCTTGGTTATAATTGTTGACTGTTCTCTTGACTTCCTGGGGACAAAGCCTCATACTTGAGTACATTTCTGAGAATAAATCATCAGCACCAAAGATATTTAATCATTGCCAGTTTGGGTTAGTTAAGCAACATAGAAATAAGGCAAGTTATAAAAAGAAATTATTTGATTATATGTAGGGTGTAGCACCAGGATGTTTGAACCAAAAAAAACCCCACCCCATTGTTTCAATTGGGGATCCTTTTATCGAGGTTTGTGTTTTCAAAAGAGTTCAGTTACAATGTGTCCACCTTTCAACAGTTGGAAATGTGTATTACGTATGTAAATGCATGTCAAGATAATGCATTGTTTATGTGCCAGACCTTGAACATCGTTGAATGTTGGATGTTAACGTCATCTCAATAATACATGAACCATGTCTTTCAGTTTTCCACATTTGCATTCCCCCCCGCCCCCATAACAACACACAATTCCTGCAGTTTGTGTGTGCTGGTGCATAGTCAATTATGATGTCACTTGCGCACGCCATCAATAATGCGGAGTATGGCCTTTATCCAAGGCGAGACAAGGGCACACAGATTCATAATAACGCAGCTGTTACCATGGTTACATCATCAATAATTTTTTAATTTTAATAAACTGCTCAGTTGCCGTTGAATAGTGGTAAACAAAGTGTGATGTGTATATGCCCCACTTACAATAGGTGGCTTATAGTCACATAAATGAAAGTCTTCATTAAAATTATAAACCAACGGGGGTGGGGGAGGGGTGGGGTGGGGAGGGGGTAGAAATTGATGTCAAGATGCTTTAAAAGTTTCAAATTGTTGCAGCATGGCAATCGTTTATTCCACAATCCACATTGTGGTTAGTTCACTCCATTCTTGACAAATTGATCTAATACGGACACCATTCTATTTGATCGCTCATTTATCTTGTGCTTTAACCCCTCTGGTAGTAGGTGTATTAACATGATTAAGCTTAGTGTGAATGAAAATGGCACTTGTCATTGAAAAATTACAAAAACAAATGCACTGAAGAGTGTCTTGGTCCTGCAATTATAATTTAGTGTCAGTACAAAATCTACACACATGAAGTGGGCTGTTTTGGATTTTTTTTTTAGGGGGGGGGGAGAGTGGAGCTTGGATTCCCATGTTATAATTACTTTTCTTATTTTAATAATCATGACAATGGTTCTTTGTTAATCATTCCAGGACAAAGCCAACAAGGGTGGAAGATTCTCTGGCATCACCAGCTTCTTCAGCGCGCTGGGCGGGGGGAAGACTAAAGGAGACAAGAGCAATGAACAGGAGATGAACACCAAGGGGAGACCGTCATCAGAGCAGGGCTTGCCTCCCATCAATGCTGGCCAAGCCATGGTGTCACAGAGTGCTCCTAGCTTAGGAGGCAAGGGGGTTCGTAGGGGGAAGGAGGCAATGCTGCAAGACTATACACCTCTGACACTCAAGCAATTCAAGTAAGTAGCTGCTGGTTGTGGTACCATCAGAGTTCTGATCAAGCCATTCACAGGTGAAATTAGTTCTCTAAGTCTATTCACAAGTCTGGCCGCTAAGGCCAACAAAAAAAAGAGTCTCCGGTTTCTGGTATGGAGCTTGCCCAAAAAGTGGTGCGGCGACGCAGCTTTTTTTTTTTTTTTTTACTTTTTTTTTCTTCAAATGTCTGCTCATGACTGCAAATGGTGCCTGACTAAATTTAGTGCAAAATATATGGGAGCCAAGAGAGGTCACTTAAAGCTTATACTCGATCGTAACCTCATCTAAAAATTCGTCAAACCAGTGAGTTTGGCGGTTTTGAGACATCATCTTACATTGAAAAAAACTTTTTAATTTTGCCGACGCGCATGGCTACGGCGACGGGCACGCATACCGGAAACCGGAGCCTTTTTTTTTTGGCCTAAGTATAAGAGATGAAACAATGCCTTTGCCATAGTTGATGAGATTGGCTGACTGGCTATATTGACTTGTGGTGACTTGAGATTGCAATAATTTGAGACTACAAATTAATTTTATCATAACATCAGTAGCGGATCTGGGGGGTTTGGTGGGAGTTGGTGGGTTGCAACCCTCCCCCCCCCCACTTCAGCCACTGAAAGACCCCCTATAGCAGGGGCATACCTTCACTCAAATATCCCCCCCCCCACCCACACACACACACCTTGTCTCCATGCGATTCCTGAAAGCTAGATCACCCCTGAACTTAAGATGGATAACACACTGTAACTACATGATCATGATAAACATTTCAAGAAATGATGGGTTGAACTACGAGTAATCATAATATTCATTGCATCACATATTGTAAGTTACAGTGAGTTTTTGGGTCGTCATAACAATTAAAGAGTCTGTTTCAGAGCCTGTGGTCCCATAAAAATCATAAAAACTGGCTAAAAATTTAGAAATAAGGTAATTAAATTCATAAAGATCCATGTAACATGTTATTGTATAAAATACCGATAGATTCCAATTTTTTTTTTTTAAAGAAGAGGGGGAATTGTATGCATTTGTACATTATTGAACAGCAAATTTGTGCTGATATCATGTGGATTATGAATAATTTAACATTATGCGTTCAGCCTCACACACTGGCCTTGTCGTACACTATAATTACAAGAAATGTGTGGCGGTTATGCTTCACCAACCATGCACAACACTAATTGCACAACACTAATTGAACCTTCCTACACTTGGCAACATAGGCCAAGTTCGGGCAAGGACCATTAGTCGACTAGTGGTTGATTTGTGACGTACCTTATGCCTGCGCACTGATACTAGCAACGTGCGAACGTCTCTAGTCAAACGCTGGTCAAAATGTCATCGCAAAACTTCTGGATCCTGGCTCTCTGCTAGCGTTATGAATGCGCGCGGCTATTGGTTACCAGCGAAGCAACCAACCCCAGTAGGCTGGTTCCAAAAAGTTGACTAGCGTAGTCAACCACCGTTGACTAGACAGAGTTCGGGCAAACGTTAGTTAACCATTGGTCAACTATAGTCCTTGCGCGAACTTGGCCTTATTCATTTGATGAATATTTGATGACAATCGGCTGTGTCTCTGAAGTGTAGATCTAGTGTTACATACAGGTACATGTGTACATGAAAGGGCAAAAATGGTCTTCAGTAAGCATTTGTTTGAATGTGATTGGTCCATTACTCTGTCTTCACAGTGTGATTGGTCCATTACTCAGTCTTCACTCAATGTGATTGGTCCATTACTCAGTCTTCACTCAATGTGATTGGTCCATTACTCAGTCTTTACTCAATGTGATTGGTCCATTACTCAGTCTTCACTCAAAATGATTGGTCCATTACTCAGTCTTCACTCAATGTGACTGGTCCATTACTCAGTCTTCACTCAAAGTGATTGGTCCATTACTCAGTCTTTACTCAATGTGATTGGTCCATTACTCAGTCTTTACTCAATGTGATTGGTCCATTACTCAGTCTTTACTCAATGTGATTGGTCCATTACTCAGTCTTCACTCAATATGATTGGTCCATTACTCAGTCTTCACTCAATATGATTGGTCCATTACTCAGTCTTCACTCAATATGATTGGTCCATTACTCAGTCTTCACTCAAAGTGATTGGTCCATTACTCAGTCTTCACTCAATGTGATTGGTCCATTACTCAGTCTTTACTCAATGCGATTGATCCATTACTCAGTCTTCACTCAATGTGACTGGTCCATTACTCAGTCTTCACTCAATGTGATTGGTCCATTACTCAGTCTTTACTCAATGTGATTGGTCCATTACTCAGTCTTCACTCAATGTGATTGGTCCATTACTCAGTCTTTACTCAATGTGATTGGCATTTACTCAGTCTTCACTCAATGTGATTGGTCCATTACTCAGTCTTCACTCAATGTGATTGGTCCATTACTCAGTCTTCACTCAACGTGATGTTTCCATTCATGGAGTTGGTCCATGAGACTATAGAATTTCAAAGATTGGTTCAAATTCTACTTGAAGGGCACATGTACATGTACATTTGTACACCTGACTGAAGTTGCATACATAAAGTATACACTATGCATTAATACATGCACAAATCTGAGCATGTTATTATTTGACAACAACGAGACAAGTATCAAATTAGGTTTTGCCCTTCGCCGACGTTTAAACACTGTATACTCAGTGTGTTACCTCCCGAGTGAAAGCTGGAAAAAAAAAATCACTCGGGTGGGACTCGAACCCACGATTTCCTGCTCTCTACCAACTGATCCCGTTAGCTCGGTGGTCGAGTGGTAAGATGATCTGCACTAGAAAGCAGGAGGTCGTGGGTTCGAGTCCCACCCGAGTGATTTTTTTCCAGCTTTCACTCGGGAGGTAACACACTGAGTATACAGTGTTTAAACGTCCGGTGAAGGGCAAAACCTAATTTGATTTATATCACCCGACACAAAATTCCATCTTAAAACGAGACAAGTAGTTACATGTATGATAAAGTATTGTGGGGGGACCACATATTGTTTTAGATACCAGTAACTTACCCATTCTTACACCCAACAAGAAGTATCTCTGAGTGTATTCACTCACCGTTTTTTGTACACTGCATGCATGAGTGGATTGCTGAAAGTTTCCCCTACAACAGGGGAATTGATTAAAAAGCCCATGCAATATAAAAATAGACTTGGCGCCGATAATTATAAGCATGTCATCATTATTAAGCTTTTAAATGGCCTATAGGCTTTATGGAAGGACGCCTCGTATCCATAATTTAATGGGTTCCGGTTGAGTGGCTTCTTAGACCAAAAAAACCACTTATAAGTCATGTATAATTTGTCCTTAGATTATGATATATATCGCTTCCCATCAGTAGCTGGTGGTTTTTGGGGGGGAGGGGAAGGGGGGGGGGTGGTTGGGTTTTACTGGTTTTTTTTCAGGTGGATAGGAAAAATGTCCTTAATTCAGCAAACATTCATTTCTACATGTATGGTTTGAAATTACACATATTAACAAATTTATTTGCTCTCATTTGCTACAAGTAGTAAAAATCAGTTTTATATCGACATTTGTTGTAACAAACTTTCACTACTGTAGTAATTTAAACTTTGTTATAAATGCTCATTTGTTTGCTGCAGGTAGAGAACACTTCGGCATGTCAAAAGGACATCTAAACTATCCTTTGATGTTTCCTAAATGAGTAACTCATTTCTACAGAATGAACAAAAACTCTTTCTTTTATTGCTTCAGGGAGTGTTTGGCCAAGGCCAAAGAATCTGAGAACTTCAAGAAAGTGCAGAGTTTCTATGAGTTAGCGTTTAGCTCCTTCCCTCATATCAATGGCACATTCATGGTAAGACATTGAAACGTTTCCAGTTGGGAATTGTTGATCTCATTTAAGATGAAACCTGTCTTATGGTTTGTTTACTTATTGTTCTCTTTGTTGGGCGCTTGAGAGTCCATCTGGTACTGAGTAGGGATATCCGCTCCGTTCACAAGTAACCCCTCACCGGCAAAGAAAGTACATTTTGGGATGACCGACCGACATTTGGCTATAACGAACATTCCCTTAGGCTCCCAAAGTAGTAAATTCTTTTATATTGCACAATCACTATAAAGAACGACTACACAATGAACATTTGTTATGGACCCATGGTGTTCATAATAACGGCATTCTACTGTATTATATATTTCTCTGTTAGTACTGTCTATCAATTTTGCAGATTCGGAAAAGTTATCGAAACAGTAAAATAGTTGAAGAGTTATGGTCATGAATGCATGAGTGCAAAATTATGGTCGTCTATTAAACATATATGGACCGTGTACCATGTTTGTCTGAACAAAAACCAGTTGGGCTCCGTCAAAGGAAATCTTAGTGGAAACTTTTGCAGTTTATTTTGTCAGAACATTTACTGTTGTTTGATTTATCCTAGAATCATTCCCTTTTAAAATGGATATGCTCAGTCATATTTTGTACTTGTGGTAAAATAAAGTACTTTCTGGAATGTAACTCCCTAAAAAAAAAAAAAAGGACAACTTAAAATTCATTGAGATGATGCATCAATTTTGTGTAAACATTTTCGTGTTGACTCATCTGTCTCAACTTCACCCGTCCCCTACCCACCCTCCCAACAGGAAGCGGGTAAAGATCCCAGGAGCACAGAAGACCCTGGTTTGTCCCAGGCATACGTCGAGACAGTTTTCGCCAATCTCCTGGAGGTACCTGAGGAGATACAGAAAACCACGCTGAAAGCAATCATCAACAGCCTTCTCAAAGACATGAAGAAGTGAGTTTAATCAGCCAGGGTATTGAGTTAGTCAGCCGAGGTATTGTTCTAAACAGAAGTACGGAGAGGCAAGGAGCGCCAGCAATTGGAGAATTTACGTTTCAGTGCACACTGAGCGTTCGCCTTGAAAGAGGCAATTTTTTTTACTTGACGGTTGACTTCCTGCGTAGACTGTCCTTCAGTAATTCATTCGTTCATAATCTTCATAAATAATATTGTTGTACACAGAATTTCGACTTGAAGCTTGGAGGAAAAAAAACACTGCTCACTCTTTATTGCCTTTTGCAACATAAATATGTAATTTGACAGCATCTACAAAGTTGGATGACAATTTCCCCCCCCCCCCCCCCATGGTGCACTACAGGCAAAGCAGGAACTACTGCACTTGTTACAGCAGATTTTCTGTCAAATTGCCAACGGCTTTTTTTTTCTATTTTGTTTTGGATATTTTCAGATATGTTTAATAAAATTGAATTGAACAAAATCATTGTTAATTTTCTTGTATTTCAAAAAGCCTTTAACTTGAATGAAAATGAACTTCTTAAATAGGTTGGTGTTGTTTTTTTACTCAAGGAAGATCCAATAAAATAAAGCAAAAACTTGTTGCGACTGTACAGTGAATGTATAACAAGTATTAGACTGTGTCCAAATGACGTGGCTACAGCTAGAAATTACACACGAGTCTATGGCAAGTGGCTGCAGCCGCTACCATAAACACATGTGTAATATCAAGCCGTAGCCAAGACATTCGGACATGGCCTTACTTGTGAATTTATGTAAGTTACATTTCATTTGTCTGACATAAGGACCTTTTTCCCTTCAAATTGTATGGTTTTGTTTTGTTTTTGCTCGTAGGCCAAGAGACAAGAATGATTTGCGAGCCTATCTTGTCCTTATGCAGGTGAGATTGAATCTAGCAAGGTTTTGCTTGTTAAAATCTTGGCATCCCATGGATATATTCTTCAGGATGCTTTAATAATGACACAAAGACAGCCGGAGATATTCCACTTCAAAACATCCATTTTATTTTTTTCATGATTTCCACAAGTCTCTGCAGCAAACTCATTTATGTCAATACCACCCAGACAAGCCTGCATACCAAAAATAGCATAGTCATGGCAGTAGAGACTACACACAGCAACATCGATCAATAACTATTGATCGGAGATGCTGCGGGAACCGTACCAATTCCTCCACCCACTATATGTTTTCTTTTTGTGCATCTAGGCCTCGCTGATGAGCGGTGGTATTTTTTTTTGTGCTATCACTCTCCTCAATCCAGACTATTTTTGATACTTATCATTGAAACGAAGTGAGAAATCAATTATTACAACAAGGCTATTTTAGTTTTGCTCAAAAACAACAAAAATCCATGAAATTATTGTGGTAATTGATGTAAAGGTTTTTCTTTTCTTTTTTGGCCAAAAAAAACCAACAATATTCCATGCAAATTATTTTGGTAATTGATGCTTAAGGATAATCTGTTTCTGAAGCCTTGCATTAGACTTGTTTCAGTTGGTTATTTTAAAACTATTTACACATGACAACAACAAAAAAACACTCAAATTTGGGATGTTTATTTAGTATAGTTGTAAATTACAGTTTTAATAGTATGTTTTTTTAAACTTAAACACAGTCTTGCATTGTGTTTTCAATATCCGCACTTTACATTTTGCACGAGTCGCTCTTGCATGTTGTTAAATAACATGGTTCCAGCAAAGGCAACGGAAGAATACTTATCAACGTCCACACTTTGTGACTCATTATTCAGCCATACAACTTTCCTCACATCTGCTGATTTCCCCATTTTTTTAAATTCCCTTGTCTGCCATAAAAAAAAATGAAAAACACTTTACAAAGTCTTCTGCAGTCTTAAAATTTCCTCTTTTTTTTCATGACAGTACGGTTGCATGCCTGTTAAATATGCGTAGCCTTGATGCACTAATTGAACGTCTCACATTTAATACCGTGAAATATCCGTGGCGCTGGTGACGTATGAAGCCAATTTGTTGCGATGCGGCAGAACCTTCAGATAATAGCTTTACTGCATCCTTGGTAGCAGTGCCTGTTTTGTGTAAAACGGGCGGGTAATTGTGCAAAAAAAAACACAACAGAAGAATAATGGCGTTTTGTAAAGGTCGCGCTGTGTGTACGCCACAATGTTAATAACATTCACATTCAGGCAGGTACAGTCGGGTCCTGGAGTGAGGCATGTAAAGATCCCCGTGCTCCTTTCATACAAACAAAAATGGCAATGAACGTTAAAGGGAATGTACATCATTGGCTTTCGCTGTACTTTTTAGAAATGAACTATTTGAGGGGTTAGTATAATATGATCAAATATTGTTACACTGACATGTTTGAAGTTTTGTGTTCGAAAATGCTGGAAAAACCAAGAAAAACAAAAATGTTAAAGGAGTCTGGTTCCCTGACTCAATTAAAGTTGAAATGGATCAATTTATAGTTGCCGAAAAATTGTGAGGTACACAACTGTAAGGGAACCAGTCTAGCTGGCCTGCACTCGTTCATGAACATGTAACCAATAGCAAACACAATTTGGACTGTAACAAATGGTAAATTTGGAGCAGTTGAAAAAAATAGTTAGGTTTTTCCAACGGTGGTCGGCCGACCACCGTTGGAAATGAATACAAAAATACCATTTTCTTGAAAATGACTTCACACCAGGTGCCATAACTTTACAGTATGCTTTAGAGTGTCATTTACCAACATCCTAGTAAGGTATTTTGTAAAAACTTGGTAGTTTTATTTTTCGATGTTTGCAAATGTTGTATTTTCCCTTTAAGAATCCCAGAGATTTCGAATTTTTGGCTTGGATCATGACACTAAATGCTTCAAGGTAACCAAATCTGAATCAGCTTTGGAACACTCTACATGTATGGTTGTATTCTTTCTTCAGTGAATAAACACAATGTAATACAATGTAGTACAGGTGCGAATACTGGTAGGTTAAACACAGCAAAGCTTTATTAAGCACAAAGAAAAAAAAGTAAAGTTAAAGAAAGGACTTTAGTAAGAAAAAGCCTTACAAAAAGTAGAAGAAATATTTTGAATAAACTCACAAAAAATAACTGAATTTGAATAAACTCTCAAAAATAAATTTTTTCACTCAGATTTTTTTTCAATCAGCCTATTGTTGGAAAGCTCATGACTATACACTTTTTGTTTAACTAGCAATTCCATTTAATTATTTTTTTTTGTTTAATGACATTCTAAAGATTCCATCTTATGAATAGTTAATGCGGTACCCGCTGCTATGTACATCAGATTCGAACCAGCCAACCAATCCCGTTAGCTCAGTGGTCGAGTGGTAAGACATCTGCACTAGAAAGCAGGAGGTCGTGCCGGGTTTGAGTCCCACCCGAGTGATTTTTTCCAACTTTCACTAGGGAGGTAAGTCAGGTAACACACTGAGTATACAGTGTTTATATGTCGGTGAAGGGCAAAACCTAATTTGTATGACATTCTAGGTAACAGATATTCTTGATATTGTTATGTCCATGCAGAATCCTCAGTTTGGCCAGACCTCCACCTACGTCATCTTCGCTCATCTACTACGGCAGGTTGCTGGGCTCTGTGATCAGGATCATCATTATCTGGTTCACTGGTTCAAAAGGTGGGTGTCTGGTGGTGTTAATCTTGCTCCGCCCAAACCTGATTCACAAGCTATCCCAAGCAGTGCTTTACCCCCAACCAGTGGAATCACCAGGCATTATTTAACGATGGTGCTCTCGGAAAATTTAGAATTTCCCTCATTCTGAAAAAAGATTGACCACTCTGGAAAACTTTGGAAAGTAATAGTCATTTTAGTTTCCCCACCCTGAATGAAAAGTTGCCATCACCTTTAACTTACAAAAGACATTTATTATCAGATGGCATCACCTCAAATTATTACTGATGTTTTAATTACTGTGCTAATTAATAATGGCTGTTCTGTTGACTCTGTTTCAGACTTCCAAAAGACAGCTTTAGGGACATGGTCAATCGTCTCATTCAGTTCATCTCCATCCGGTTGTTTCCTCCCGAGCCTGCCGACCTGCCACCCATCGGCAAATGCTCCTGGTGGATTCCTTCCGTCACCAAGGTCCTGGCCCTGCTCAGTAAGTCTTGACAAAACCGTCTTATTTGTCCTTGAGTTTCCTCAGCAGTTATGTGAACGTCATAATTGTTACTAAAAAAACAATATAGCATCATTCGCTGACTAAAGGCCAGTTCGTACTCGGCACAAAAGTGAACACAAACTCCAATTTGGGACAAATTTGCAAAGCTTAACAAGTTTCTACTAAGGCGTATTTTGCTGCAAATGTTTCATGACATCACATTTGTTAAACATTACATGTCAAACAGGAAATGTTAAATAACCCATATTTCAAGAAGAATAAATTGAGTACAGAAAAGAACACTTAGGCCGGCCTCCGGTCGACCTGTGATTTGCTTGCGCCACGACAGAACTAGCCTTGATCAAGGCGTCTGTCGATAGTGTTGACTGCGCGCGGGAAGTGTTTATGTTTTTAGCTGCCAGATACCATCACGGACACTATCGATGAATGCCTTGACCAAGGCTAGTTCAGTCGCAGCGCAAGCAAATCGCATGTCGTCCTTAGGCCGGCCTTAAGCGGAAAGTCTACACCATGGGACCCAACATCTAATTTTGTAAACAGATGTGAGATGGTCTAAACAAATGCAAGGGTACTGATTGGCATCTTTGACTGTTTTTTTGTCCAGATGCGGCCAACTCGCTGACAGTCCCCAACAAGATTGTCTACACCTGTTTCTACAACAACACCTTGGACCATGTGGATCTGATGAAGGAATACTATGCTTGGCAGAACCCTAACAACTACCAAACGTACGAATGTACATATACTAGGCAGAAGCTAGTTTTGAAAAAAAAATTACATGTATCAACTGTGAATGCTATGCTGATCAAGAGTGTTTTACTTCAGTGATTTCTGAGCATTTTGATTTTGGGTGTATGGGTACAATTGATCAACTGTCTGTCTAATAAAAGTGGATTGGATATGACAGAAATAAATGTAAATGTAATTTAATACAAATGTAATACAAATGTAATATAATGCAGTTTAGGAATGAATTAAAGATATCCCAATAAGAAAAAACTGTAACAGTCAACAGATGTTGAGGGGGAAAAAGGTTCTTTTGTTTTGGGCTTAAAAGCTTCGCCTTTTTCAATTCCCCAATTTTAATTTGGGCATTTTTTATTCTCACAGATTCACCTTTTGTCAGTACCCATTCATACTGAGTCTCCAGGCCAAGCGGACCATCATGCAGAAGGATTCAGAACAGCAGATGATCATGACTGCAAGGGTGAGTAGTGCACCTCCCTGTCCTAGCATTCTTCTTCTCTTCTCTCTGTCATGTCTGTGCATCCACATACAGGGGTGTGAAATCTCAGCTTTAAAGCTGATTTCAGCTTTTTTTGTTTTGGATTTCAGCTTTTCTCCCTCGCTGTGTACAGAAGTATAGGAGATTTCCAGCTTTTTTACACCTTTTTCAGGTGTTTTCAGCTCTTTTTATCGGTGGTCACTGACACCCCTGCACATATCAGTGTTGAGCAAAAAAGGACAAATCGACAAAGTAGCCATGTTGATGCGAGGACCGAAGCAAAACTTTCTGTTGGTGTTGGTCTTTACGGGAGAAGGCAAAATTAAACAGATGATAACTCAAGGAGTAATAAGGTTTTACAGGTTTTACAGTGTACTTTGGGGTTCGACTTTGGGTTACCGTTTCTTTACCTTGACGTTCTTTCCTTACTCGGATCATTTTTTTTTCAGGCAAACCAACATCAAACACATATTTAAAATGAACTTGCAAAAAAAATGCTCAAAGACAATATTTCTAGTAGAGCAATTTCTCATTAGTATAAAAAAATTTCACGGAGTACTCGGGTACACATGTACTAAGTGACATCCACCCAGATATCTTCAGTTGTTCGTGCCATAACCAATGCTGTCGGGTTTGCAGGAATATGTGAATGATGTCGGCAGTTATTGTTTCTCACAAATAATGATTTGTTGTTGTTTTCTGTTTCTCCTGACAGAGGAGTCTGGTAGCCAAGGTCCAGCAGAGGCAGATGCCCAACATGAACATGTTGTTTCTGAACCTCAAGGTGCGCAGGTCGCATCTGGTCTCGGACTCTCTACACGAGGTAACGCTGAGATTTCTTCAGTCAATAAGAAAATCTAAGCAAACTTGTTACAAGAATTGAGACTGTCAGACTGAAGCAAGAGTTAAAACTTTTGTTACACTCTGAAGTGACCTTTTAATCTAGCATGTCTAATGATTCGGTGATAGCGAATGTATACAGACAATGAATATGTGGATTCACTCATGAATATCACAACACATATACTTCGTAGGTTGCAAGGAAGAAAGCTGACTTGAAGAAGAAACTTCGAGTGCAGTTCCACAACGAGCCTGGGCTTGACATGGGTGGGCTGACCAAGGAGTGGTTTCTTCTGCTTCTCAGAAAGATATTCAAGGAGGAGTATGGTGAGTTCTTGTCTCAGATGTTGAGATACAAATACATTGATCCTTATTTAAGGCAATGTCATTTGACTTGAGACTTGATGAGTTGGGATGACTTGTGAGTACTTGACTAAAAAGCCACAAACTCAATAACAAGGTTTTTGGGAGGAGACATCTGGAAAGCACTATTAAAATGTTTGGTTTAGTTTGGTTCCTGAATTGTCATTTTGCCCACATCTGAAATAATCTTCAGCCGGGAATTAACTTTTTCATTGGCTTGTTTTCTTCTGCACAGGCATGTTTACATACAACGACAAGTCTAGGTGCTTCTGGTTCAACCCAGCTTGTGTGGACTGCAACCAGGAATTCAACTTAGTCGGAGTTGTATCCTTTAACTAAAGTATTAGAATACAACTATTTTCCACATGAGCATTTTTAACTTATTTGAGATAAAAACTGTTCCCTGTAAAACGTGATGAGGTTGTAGATAAACTCTGCATTCACAAGTTATGCTTTTTATGGCACCATATCTAAAATAACAATATTGTCATCCACTCCCAACGGTACTGTAAAATTCCTTGACATATCCATTTCCGCACTAGCTCATGGGTCTAGCCGTTTACAACAGCATCATTCTAGACCTTCACTTCCCAGCCTGTACATATCGTAAACTCCTTAGTCCTGCCGTGGTGCCTTACAATAACCCTGGGGCTGAGGTGGGCAGAACAGCGGTGACCCAGGATGACCTGGCTCAGGTCAATCCGGTGAGTATCACCACATCACCACACAACCACCATCACCACATTTCAACATCACAACGTCACATCACCACATCACCGTAGTATTTTATTCTCAGTAAATCAAAATACAAAATAAAACCAGTGCCTTAATATTGTGTTTTATTGATCTTTGTTCTACCCCCAAAGGAACTTGCGCATGGTTTAAAGGAACTCCTCGCCTACGATGGCAACGTTGAGGATGACCTGTGCATGAGTTTCCAGGTGAGTCAAGTCACTGTGGAGTCACCTTTAAGATTACAGCATTGTCCTTTTATTGTGTCAATTTAATCACTATTTTTTTCTCAAAAATATTTAACTGGATTATTGATATAAGGAATCTACCAGGGTAAGCGTATTATGGTATTATGATGCTGACAATTTGTTTGTGGTCATGAGACCTAAATGTTTTTGTGGTAACGTTATGAAAAATGACTTTACTTTAAGTCAGTTTGGAATGCTTAACATTTTTCCCTTTTTTGCCGTTGTGGCTGTTTTCTGCTATTCTCATTGATTAGATTCAAGAGATTCTGTTGTTTTATTTAGATATCCCTGCCGGTTTATGGGACTGTACAGACGATTGATCTGAAGCCAGATGGGGCAAACATTCCAGTCACCAATGAAAACAGAAAAGGTAAATTACAGTCAAATTGAAGGATGTTCTGGTGTGTTTTTCTTCTGTTTTGAATAAAGAAACTTCTGAATTTGACAGGTATGACTTCATATTCAAGAATATTGTATATTTTTTTATTACTGTGATATTTTTCATGGGAGAATATAAAATCTTCCTTAGTCGACTCATTTGCAGAGACATTTTGATGGTCAAAAAGTTACTTTGAAAATGTCTCTTACTCGGAGAGTCATGATATAATGTGGAGGTAAAATAAACAAATAATTGAACGTATATATATTCATTCTTCCAGAATATGTTGAGTTGTATCTGAAGTATCTCCTGAACGAGTCCATCTATGGGCAGTTTGCTGCCTTCTATCACGGCTTCCACAGCGTCTGCGCCTCCAACGCACTGATCATGCTCAGACCGGAAGAAGTGGAGATGCTGGTGTGTGGGAGTCCGAACCTAGACCTGGACGCATTGGAGAAAGTCACGACGTACGATGGGTTCACTAAAGATGACCAGACTATCAGGTAAGACATGGTACCATTGAGAAGGTGGACAAGTCAAAGTGCACAAAATGCTATTGCATGGATTTCAGAAAGGCTATTCAATGGTAGTCTTTTCATGTGTCTGGTCACAGTGGGACGGATTATTAGTTTATTCATTGATGTTATTGGGTACTCCTATACAATAGCACTGCCCCACCTCTCTTCGACAGCCTGCAATCATTCACATTTACTGTTAAAGTTACATGGCATGAGTTATTTTTTCTTGATCCCTGTCCCTTTTTGTTTTGGTGGTGGGGGGGGGGGAGGTTAGATATTGGAGAGAATTTGAACCACCCAACCCTACCCCACCCCCTCATTGCTCTACCACTGTGCCGAGAGCCCATAAATTCATGTTAAGTTTAGCTTTAGGTATCTGAATTTCAGATTATTTTTAAATTTAATGTTTACAGGTACTTTTGGGAAGTTCTGAAGGCATTCCCAGTCCCACTGCAGAAGAAGCTGATGCTGTTTGCGACAGGGAGCGATCGTATCCCAATCGGGGGTATGGGAGAGATGACATTCAAGATTGTCAAAGTTAACGCCTCCACCAGCATGTGAGTTCATGTCTTACGTTGTTCATACAAAACAGGATATTTAATAAGCAGTCTGCTTGTCTGGAAGTCATAGAGGCTTTGACTTCAAGTCCTTGCTTTTCCACCTTGTACTCGTGAAATTTTGCAGAAAATATTTTTTTCATGACAATTCTGCCATGCTCCAAATGTTTATGGCATTTAAGTGTACATTCCTTGCTTTGAGGATTGGACAATTTTTCAGCAAATGGAAAAATTCCATTTGGATTACGTCGAGAGAATATCTGAGCTTTCAAAAGATGCAAGTGCCATCATCAATGCCCATCATTTTACTTGCTCATTTGATTCTCTTTTATCTTACATCTTTTGTTTGCGCTCAATTGATTTTGACCTTCATGTCTCATTTTACAGCAGATTTAACACCTTTTTCTCGGGAGGATGATGGACACGGTTTTGACTGATTTTTTTCTTTTTTAATCAAGTCATTTCTTGATTGTTTACTTTCATTCGGACAGGCTGCCCATGTCGCACACATGCTTCAACCAGCTCATTCTGCCGCCCTACAAGAGCAGACGACAGCTGAAGCACAAGGTCACCATCGCCATCTCAAACGCCGAGGGCTTCGGTCTGGAGTAGACACTTGAAAACTGGTAACTCCCATGAGGACAGTTTCTGTTACCTGCAACTAATGTCTTGAGGGTTTGAGCCGAAGTTCTGAAGCCGTGAAGCAGAAATGTTGCCTAGCAAACTATGGTGTGCACTAAGCAAAAATTAGCTGGGAACCAGTGAATTGCAATATGCATGTGTGCAACATTATGGCTGGTAACCTGGAAACTATTCCAATGCTTAACACTATGGTAGTGTCTGAATTACAGTCGAGGCTCGTTAACACAAACTCTTTTGGACCTAGCCATATTGTTTGTTATTTCAGGATTTTGTATTAAGAAGAACATCAGTCCCATTCATTGTGCACATTAATGCACAGTCGGGACTAAGGCTTTATGTTTATTATAACCAGAATTTTGTATTAACAGAGTTTGTACTAAAGAGAGTCGACTGTACTTGGCTACGGCTTGGACAGGAGTCTATGGCAGCGGCTACAGCTACTTCCCATAGACTCGTGTGCAATTTCAAGCCATAGCCATGTAAGGCCGTGTCCGAAACGGGCTTCCAGAGCTACGGCTACGTCTGTTGTCAGCGCGTCCCCGCGTATTTTGAATGGGCACAGACCTAGACCTAGCTCTAGACAACTGATTCGGATGCAGCCTTATTCAGACATGGCCTATCCTGTATGTGCTTCACAGCTCCATGACATTAACCACTGTTCCTGGGCGGAAAGGTTTTTATTTTGTTTATATAGTCGGTGCATGTAGCATTGCAGATTTTGGAAGAGGAATTACATTGATTTTGCCAAAAAACAAAATGTGTGTTGTAAATACAAAAGGAAAGAGAACAATTTAATAAACAGTGTGCTAGTAGTTTGGTGTGTATAGGTAGGGTCTGCCCAGTGGCCGCTTTGCTTTGATTGAAATCAAATATTTTTTGGCCTATAGTGTAATCCTGCGACCAAAACTAGGAGCCATTAGGCCCCCCCCCCCCCCAAAAAAAGTCTCCAGTTTCTGGTATGGAGCTTGCCCAAAAACTGGTGCGGCGACGCGGCTTTTTTTTTTTTTTACCTGATTTTTTTGCTTCATATGTCGGCTGATGACTGCAAATGGTGCCCGACTAAACTTAGTGCAAATATATGGGAGTCCAGAGAGGCCACATAAAGCTTATTCTCGACCATAACCCAATCTCAAAAACACGTTAAAATTGTGTAGCAGCAGGATTCCAGTCAAACCAGTGAGTTTGGCGGTTTTGAGACATCATCTTTCATTGAAAAAAAACCTATTTCATTTTGCCGACGCGCATGGCTACGGCGACGCATGCGCATACCAGAAACTGGAGACTTTTTTTTTGTTGCCTTATTGAGGCGTTGCAACATTCGCGCACACGCTGCACGCGTTCTTAAAAATGAGGCGCACGCACATTTTGTAAACACTATTGGTGGAAGGAGCTCGGGGTGCATGTGAACTACCTGAGCGCAAATTGCGAAAGCCTAGTGCCACCACAAATAATGGGCATTCACAATCTTTTCTGACACTTTCAGGACATGTTCAGCATTCCTCTGATATTTTTAGCATTTCAACAAAAACAATCAGCATTATTTAACATATTTTATTTCACATTCCAGAAATAAACCGTTTTTTTTTTGTATCTTTGTTTTACCAATGCATTTTGTCCACCAATGCAATCTATCTTTAAGACAACAAAAGCATTAACCACTGACCAATAAAAAAAAGGAAAAGGATATAGTGATCGCCACTGGGTTAGCTCTGATGACAAAACTACTTTGTATCATTCCTGTAAGATAGATATTATTTTAAATTATATAAATATGTATTAATATGCATACATACATGTATGCTTATTATTTTTCCTGACTGTATTCACTTTGAAATGTATATGACTGCCGTGTGTATCAAAACAATGCTTTTATTGTCAAAAGCATGTCTATTTTCATAAATTTTAGGAGCTTTGTATATGAACAGCATTTTGTCAGTGTGTATAGTAATTCCATTCTTCATTCAGTATTGATCAGAGTGCCTTTGTTCAAATTTTCCAGATAATTTTTTTTCAGTCACAAAACGAACAAATTGTTCAAAGTAAATTCAATGGGTGAATATTCAACACAGCTGTTTATAAAGCTGGCTGTTTGGGGTCTTTTTACTTAGTGTTTTAAATTCATTTTCCCCCTTTCATGCCGCCTTTCATTAGGAATCCAAACCCAAAATACTGCTCCATGTGTGCATTTTAGTAACATTTTGTTTGTGTTTATTCTAAAATAAGTTTCTTTTGTTGTCCTGGTGATGTGCAATACTTTAAAATGTACATGGTCATAGTGAAGTAGTTTTGAGAAAATGATCTTTGGGATCTACTAGCAAACAGAAAACAGAATTTAGTGTTTTTATTTTTTGGGGGGAGGGGGTGTTACTGTATTGGCAGAATACATGTAAACAGGTTGCCAAGCCGCCTGAGCACTCTATGATTTCATTGATTCTACAGTGAATAAGCACAATGTAATACAATGTAATACAATGTAATACAATGTAATACAATGTAATACAATGTAATACAATGTAATACAATGTAATACAATGTAATGCAATGTAATGCAATGTAATGCAATGTAATGCAATGTAATGCAATGTAATGCAATGTAATACAATGTAGTACAATGTAGTACAGGGGTGCTAATGGGTAAAATAATAAGTTGGAAGGTATTTGATACAACAGTTCTTCAAATAATGTGCCTCACAAACTGTGAAAGAGAAAGTGAAAGCTGGTTGTATACAGCAATCAATGCACCATATGTAGCTCTATGGAAAGCTGCCTTTGATATGATAGCTGGTTTCATGGTTGTGTGAATTTTTCATTTCCTTGTTTTCATGAGTAGACTTGACACTAAGCCAAAACCAATCTGTAAAACGGTTCTTGTTGGCCAACGTGGAAACCTGTGTTTGACAAATTTTAAAAGGTCATGGGGAACAAACCGAGAATTAGCTTTACAGGAATAAAACCGTGACAAATCTCGAAAACGTGCATTTCAAGATGTTTAAATGTGAATGAATTTTTTTTTTTGAACAGTGATGACTTTTGGTAGCCATTTATAACCCCTTGACCTCTACAACTATTAGGATGATGTAAAAAAAAAAAAAATAATGAACAGTGCCTTTTTAAAATCCCTTATCTTAAGTTTTACCCTTTTTTTTAGACTTGTCAGATTAAACAAAAGTAAGAACCTGTGTTTAATGTCTTGCCGTATTTTGTTTAAGTGGGATTTATCCAAACTATTTTTAGAGTATTTACAGCATTCATTTATTTAATATATCCCCAGCATATTCCTTTGTTGCATGCAGCGAACAATTTTATCACCTTGCCACAAAGCAGAATTTTCATAATCCTCAGACCAAAATGTACCTCATATTAATGACACATTTATGAAAGTGGAAGTGCCTTGAAATAAATATATTACTTGAAGAAATGTTTTTAATAGTTTTTGTCCAACAGTAAATATTGCCTTACCAAACATATACTTTTCGAAACTTGTAAAAATAAACAACCAAGTTTCACCTTCATTTCAATGGAAGGACTCGAGCTTTTTAATGAAACTGTGTTACTATTGTATCAATTCATAATTTTAAAAGCTTAGTTTCCATGTGGATATGTTATGCAATATACATGTAATGCAAGATACTGGACTCCTTTCAAGCCTGTTTTCCTTACTTGGTCCATTGATCCAGTGTTGATGCCTGCTTGCTTGTTGAAAGAAGTCAAGATATCAGACTGGTATCACATCTACATGTAGTAAATGGCAACGTGACACATTTTTGGCTTATTTGAAATTCTGATGTAAAATTAAGGAACATCAGCATTTCTGTTTTGGGAAAACTATCTTCCGACCAAAGAGACACTGGTTTTGAAAAAAAAAAGTAACTTTACCGCAGCAAAATATTATAAGTTATAAATGTATTGTCCATTAGACTTCTGTATAGTGCCAATTCCTTGCTTAAGTTCATTAGTTTTATGGCTGTGTGACAACAAGGTCAATAAATGTGTGTTCAAATGGAAAAGCTTCTTGGTTATCTGTGATAATCATTGAACTGTTGTGTTGTATACTGGTGATTATTTTTACCGCACAGCTTTATACATCAAAGGGAATTCTTTAATTACCCTAACTCCCCGGCATAATTTACTAGGAACCGTTCCCATTCAGGCAAAATCCAACACCTACATGGGAAATTGTACACACACACTGTTGGACTTAGATTCTGGAGGTATGCCAAACCCAATGTAAAAGACGGTTTTGGGTACCGTACTGTACCCATCCTAACAGATTTCATCAAAACCTGCTGTTGGGCTTTGATGGGTTGAGTTTGGTTAGGGTTAAGTTTGTGGCAACTTTGACTAGATCCGACAGAATACAAAGAAATATAAAAATGATTAACACATTGCTTCAACAGTTGCTCTCAATAAACAAGGTTTAATACTTAAAAATCATTTTTGTGTCAATACTTAACTTCTAAAACCATCAATTTGTACTTCTGAAGATGTACAAAGGTTTAATACTTAAATCAGTTTTTTTGTCAATACTTAACTTCTAAAACCATAAATTTGTACTTCTCAAGATGTAATTCCAGAAAAAAATTGCACTACATGTTAACACATTTATGTATAAAATTATTTTTAAAAACCCAGGTTCCTGTGCTGAACAATGTATACTTGGAGACGGACGACATTCCGAGAATCTTAGAATTGCGACAAAAACATTACATGTATGTTTTTGGTATCGGGGTGTCAATGTGTAGGCCCATATTGAAAAAAAAGAAGAGTTCATTTTTTCCCACAAACTAATGTCCCTTATTTTTTTACTTGGCCAGGAGAATTTGGACCCTCAAATTCTAAACTTAAAAACACTAGTACTTTGGTACCTTGGTAAGCCTTTAACATTCTTTTCCTTTGTTTGCCATGTAATGGAAAGAAGAAATTTGGAATAAGCCCAGGAGTTGTGTCTTTGTTTCTGGGTTTACTTCAAATACAGTAAACATATGTACATATAACTAAATTGCCATTAATGAAACTGCATCCGATACACCAACTATAACTGAATTTCCTTTTGAAAGTAATTCTAATAAATATTTATGTTTATATCAAAACTAAATCTTTCAAAAAACTAAACACCACCTGTAGTGACAAATCATCACTACAAAATCCTTCATGTAGTTACACATGTAGAAAACAAGTTTTTGTTTCAACTTGATCACATTTGTTCATTCAATCATGTAAACTTTTTGCTCAGGAACAGGAAATCAGGAAACTTGATATTTTCAGGAAAGACAGACAGACAGAATCGGATATCCACTTGAACACAGCACAGGTACATGTTTATCCGGACTTTAATGTACATTGTGCATGTACAGAACTTATTCCATAATTTTGGACATACACACACAGGTTTGTTTATGGTGTAAATCAAGGGTTTCCTATTGCTCCTTTTTTGCTCATAATTTAATTTCTTGCAACAGCTCTCAGTGGTTTTGTACACGTTTTCCCTGACTTGGATTTGACTCTTGTCCTCAATTAGGCCAATAAAACAATAGTCGGTCGCTGGTCAGACCGAAGTTCCGGAATTGATGCGGCGACGCGTTGTTTTTTGTTTTTTTTGGTGGCTTTTTTTTTTTTTCAAGCTTGTATTGTACATACAAGGTGGGTACTATTTTGCTTTTTTGTGTCCTCATTATACATTGGTGTCCTCCATAATCTGCCTTGGTGCCCTTTATCATTTGCCTTGGTGCAATTTCCCCATTCCTTGGTGCTCCTTGGTACAAAAATTTGAGGAGGCGCGGCAATAGAGGGCGCTGTTGTAGCTTCCGTGTTAATTTGAAGAAAAAAAAAAGTTGACGCGCATGATTAAAATCGACGCGCGCGCTGACCAGAGACCGAATTTTTTTTTTTTTTTGCCTTACACTAGGATGTTTCATATGCTTGTCCTCGATATACACCTTAGTATGCACACACAAAAGTGGACATACTAAACATGTACTTTATGTATTTGTTTTAGCTTCGTACTACGATGTACATGTAGATGATCCTTTCCGTAAATGGGGCCTTCCTCATGTGATACCGAAGTCTTTAATTTGAAAGCAGACAACTGAACTTTTGCTTTACTTATTAAACTTTTCACACTAGATTTACGGTGACTGCTCTATGTTCCGACACCCCTATGTTCCGACAACCTAGATTGTGTTACTCCCGGTTAGGGTTAGGGTTAGGGTTAGGGTTAGGAATAGGAATATGTGCAACTTTTCACACTAGATTTACGGTGACTGCTCTATGTTCCGACACCCCTATGTTCCGACAACCTAGATTGTGTTACTCCCGGTTAGGGTTAGGGTTAGGGTTAGGGTTAGGAATATGTGCAGTCGGAACATAGGGGTGTCGGAACATAGAGGTGTAACCAGATTTACAAACTAAATACAAGGCTGCGACGCCAACAACTCGACAGTCTTTGACTGTTTTGTTTTTTAAATGAAGAAAAAACACACTATTTTACAGTCTAATAAATGTCCTCATTGAAACAAGTACTGCAAATTACAGGAACTGAAAACGAAACACAACAGAATGAACTATTTTTCTACTATTTTAGACTTTCAAAAATTTGGAGGATTGTGGCCGAGTGGTTAGGGTTAGTGACTCCCTATGTTGTGTCCACAATTATTATGGAATAATTTCCTTTCAAAATATTGTTTTCAAACAGACCTTTGTTCGTTTGGTGCCCTTCTTCTTTTGAAATGGGTTATGAACTATTGTCCACATTGTTTTAGCCTTTAACTACACACGTAGTCAGTAAAGTTACATGTGCTGATGATGGGAGAATAAATATTACAATTTATTAATTTTTTTTTTTCAAATGGAATAGTCACACATAAAGAACGGATTTATAAGTTATTCTTGGAACTCGATCACTTATAAGATGTTTTAGTTTTTTTTTCTTACAACTAAATGCTTAGGCAATTAACACAAACTGAATGCCAAACTTTTAAAATTAATTTAAACATTAAATCACAGCACACTTACACACAGACAAGCACACGCAAACAAACAACCTCAAACAAAATCATCATTTTTTGTAAAAATTCTCTAAATATAAAAAAAAAAAAAAATCCCTTAGATGGAATTTTGTTAATGTAGGAAGAATTTAGACAGTTAAGATTACAAACTGAAAAAAAAGTATTTAGTTTGTTTTACAAAAAAGGTTTTGTGACTAAAATTAAGTTTTTATTGTTATTCTTTTTTTTATGGAACCACCTGGCCTGATTTGGTTTCACATAAGCAGTTTTTTCAAATATCTCAGACTAAATCTTCAAGGTTCCAAAATGAGACAAAAAGTGGGCGTTCACAAAAATTAAAAACTAACTACAATTTGCAATTCGCTCGTACCCAATGCCCTGAAACAGATTGCTAGGAAGGGCTATGTTTTCCTGGATGCATGACGTAATTTGCTCAAGCCCTCATTGGACACAATTTGTTTAAACAATAACCGTGTCAACCTTTCCGCCCGTGCACAACACGTAAGCACAGAACATACCTGCACTGGATGAGGCAGTAAGCTACCCACAATGCTTTGCGTGCCTGAACTTCCTTCACAAAAATTTGCGAAGGAGGTTAGCCCTTCCCAGCGCCCTATTTGAGGGCAGTGGGTACGAGCGAAGTCACTGGTGACCGTTATTTGCGCATGACTGGCTTGGTTGGAAGCTGGTACCCTGCAAATATTTCCATTCTCACTATAAACCTACATTTATACATTTGGCACCTAAATATTACGACACTAAAGAAAAGCATGACTATTTCTGACCATTTTGACAGGTTGCCAACTGAAAAAAATCTTCCAACTACGTTTGCTGGAGGCATTAAACTAGTAGTATAATTTGACCTGTCAGTGTTCGGTAAGCCAATACAATGACCCAAAATGGTACCTGCTAAAGACAATAAGATAAAATGCTGGCTTGAACGTCAATAAATTCTATTCTCAAAAGAGTTATGGACTTACATACATGTACATATCAATATAAGATTTGAGAAAAGACTTGAGCAAGTTTAATGTTTCAGTCTGTTGCCTACAGCAATCCCTGTAACATCTATTTCAAAAGGCTACCTGGAATATCTTTGGAGTGTGGGAACCAGACATGGTTACTGGCACAGTCGGTCGTTGACCTCTAGTTCGCAACCATCTTGCATAAGTCGGATGGCGATATTGGCAATGTTCATTGCGTCGTCTTTGCCCCTGTGAGGCCGGCCATCGAAACCCATCTCTAGTGCTCCTAGCATGTTCCTGAAATGAAGACAGACGTGGTTCTCGTAAGAGGTCTAGTTTCATAACAGCGAGTCCATCACAAGTCTGATTATAAGTCTAATCACCAGTAAATCACAAGCTCATCCACGAGACTGGTCACAAGTAACAGGATGAATAGCAGTGTTCGAACTTAACTTTTTGTTCACTAGCCAGCCGGGCTACGGAAACAGACTCTCAACTAGCCCGCGGGCATTTTCACAAGCCCACATGTTTTTGTTTATAAACAACAATGTGCATACATGTAAAACGTACATCCTGCGGCAATCTTGTAAGCGTTCTTAATAAACAGATCTAATTTTTGACTTGCCAGCCGAGCTACTTAAGGAATAGTTTGAATAGCCCGCAGCTGTTTTGACTAGCATTTGGCTAGCGGGCTACCGCTAAAGTCGAACCCTGATGAAGAATAAAAAAGGAATGTCTTTGGCACAGTTCTTTTGAATAGCATGTGACTTGACTTGGCACTAGATGACTTGTGATGGGCTTGATTATGACACTGCCTAACAGCAGTCTTTGGTGGTATTGATAACCAACAACTATGATAATTGGTGACAATCTGATTGAAGTAACAAATCTACAAGGGTGAACTCTGAAAATAACTGACAGGCTTGCCAACTGGGAATTTTGAAAAAAAATGAGGAAATTCCAAACCACACAAGACTTTGCACAGTGTTTTAAATTTGTAATGGCATTCATGAGAAGTAAAAAAAAAACGAGGAGTGGATCTGAGGAAAAGTTGCATGCCTAAACTGAAGATTGCAGATATCAAAGGCTCTCCTGCAAAAATGCACATCAAGTCAGTTTGCATGTATACTCTAGTCTCAGATGTAGATTTTTGTCTTTAAGACGTTTCATCTTACCTAAGACACATGCGTTTGGTCTTGTAGAAGTTACTGAAGGTCTTGCACAGGTTAATCCACTGACGTGCATAAGCTGGGTAGGGAACCTGGCTCAACTTGCACTGGACGTTTAAATACATGTTCATGTCCCACGGTCTGAAAAAAAAAGAAATATTAAAAATCAAAATGGTGAGTGAAAGAATCGGCTAAATCAACAAAAAGGATCATGTCTGTTTGGCAGTGACTCAGTCACTGATGCAATATAGTAAAATTAAAAAGTAAAGTCTGTCACAAGCCAATGGGGCCCATCAGGCCGGCGTATATCTCCAGTTTCAGTAGCATGAAACAACTGAGAATATTTCTACTAGCATGAGATGCTAGTCCATCACAGGTTACTCCCCAGCTAATGCCGGTACCCATTTATACTCCTGGGTGGAGAGAGGCAAGTGGGGAAACGACATATGACCACCAGCTGGATTCGACCCTCTGATCACGAGTCACGAACCGTAACCACTAGGCCACACTCCTAACAAATGATACAACCACCAATAAAAGAAAGACTTTGCTAAAATCTATAATCTTGTCAGTGCCGGAATATTGTTAGTTGTGGAGTATCTCAACACTCAAAATGCTATGGATTTGCCAATGAGAATAGCGGCATTTTGAGAAACACAAAATGCTCTCAATGGAAACAACCCAGGTTATCAAATGCTTGCCTTTGTGCATGCAAGCCCAATCCACCTGAGAACAAACTGACAACACAACGTTCCCAGAGTTTCTTTAAAGCTGCAGGGACATACCGGGACACTCCTTTATTTTATTGGGGCATTATTCATTACCCATCTGTGACGATGATAAAACTGTGCTCTGTCCCCAACGCCTTGCTCTTCATCCATCGATGGACTTGGCTGAGAACCACAGGGAATGTGTCTGCTTTGTCAACTTCTACCTGAGGATTTGTAAAGTACAAAAAAAAACAGATATGAATCTCACTGCATATCCATCGAGACTTGACCGTAAGTTCAAATAAGAAAAAGGAAGCTGAACTTCCATTTTGACATTCACCATAATGGCACAAAGTGGAAATTATTTCAAAAACTCGACATGAGCAGTGGAGGTGACAAAAGACATTAAATTTGTCAACTTAAAAAAATGAAAGGTACAAGCTCCATGCTCACTTTTACCATTTTCTGCCTTTCAGTGTTCAATTTGTTATATTTAATTTTCAGATCTGCCTACTTGTATACTTTCTCCTTGAAATTCTATTTGATCAATTTTTGCATGTGTGTGACAGAGAACACCATGAATTACAGCACTTGTGGACTTTTTACTCTTCTGTCTTGGAAATAAATTACAAATGGCAAATTGCGGCCGTCCTTACCTGCGTAATGCTTGTCAACTCCTTACAGAACTTGGACAGCCTCGGATTTAATAAAGGTTTGATGAACGAATCAAAACTATCCTCCTGTAACAAAAGAACAATCACATGTTTAAATAAGTAGTTTGTATTTCCAGTAATCTACCCGAGCATTCCCATATCAGTGTTTGAAAGGAAAATCAGCTGGTATGGGTCAACTGAGACTACCTCTTTTCCTTATTCATGGGAAGCCAGTCCACCTCAAATTTTTTCCCAGCTAATGCCAGTACCCATTTACTCCTGTGTAGACAGAGGCACATAGGGGAAAAGTGGCTTGCCCAAGGACACAACATAGGGAGTCACTAACCCTAACCACTAGGCCACAATCCTCCGTTCAACAGTACCTTTGTGAATTGATCATTCCTGTTTTGCACCACATCTTCATTTGATACTTGTTGAAATGTCAAATCAATCACAGGCAAGAAGTATTTATTAGACTTACAATTTCCATGGTCTTGGTATTGACCAGTACGATAGGAAACTCAATAATCTCCTGGATGTAATCAATGGGCGTGGGTTCCTCACAGGTGGCCTCAAAGTCAATCACACACAGGTAGTCAAAGTTGCGTTGGGTGGAAGGCGTTTCAAGCCCCGCCTGACCCATCAAGAGATTCTTGTAGTACGTCTTTAGCCTGGCTCGCAAGATTTCACCAATTCCTCTACATTTTGAGAGAAAAATACAAATTTTGGAATATTTTTCAGTCTAAATTATTTGTTATGATTCCATGCAGATTTCTTTCCTCTAGTTTTAAAAAAAAGAATTTAAATGAGATGATTTGGTAACAAGTCCTGCATCAAAAAAATATAATCAAAGGATTACTGTATTTGAGATTTCTCAACATTTTTCCACATGACTGTACATGTACGAAGCTAAGCTTACATGTACAGCCCCTTTCCATACTGTCTAGCCCTCCCCACTCCTAGTTTATCAGTTAACCATACTTTTGAGCACATTGAGCGTGAGACTAGCGCATTTCAGGTTATTCTCACGCCCACACAGGATTTCTCGAGAATAAAAACAGTTCCAAAATGATGTTCAAGGGATGATCTTTTGCTAGAAAACATTGCCTCAGATTGCACCACAGAGTGTCTACCCAATTATTTTTTCGGGGCCCTTTGGTGGGCCCCCAACCCCATGCCGTTAGGGCTTCATGCTTCGTGTTCGCATTAGTTCTGATCAAGCTCCATCGCAAAATTCTCACTCTCAGCTCTTACTCAAAGTTGGCAGCCCTGTAAATGTAGGGGGGATCTAACTTCAAGTATCAGTTTCTTTCCTGAAGAATTACTTCAGCCTCTTCTCCTTCCTCACATTCCTAAAAAAATAATACAGCCCACAAAGATCTACAAGTACAATGTTCTTCGTTTAACCCCATCATTCACTGATCCTCCACACAACGCTGCAGGATAAAGTTAGGGTTAATGTAATTAGAGTTTCTGACCTTGTATTGAGCCTGAGCTTAGCCAGTGTGTCTTTCATCTCCTCTTTGCTCATGCGATTAATCTCTCCGTTCCTCCTGGAGATGGCTCGGTAGATAGGATTACTCAGATCCTTCACATACTTGGTGTCTGGGTAGGTCAGGCAACTATTCTGCATATTGGAATACAATGTACGTGTACATTTTGCGTATCGAACAACTCAACTGAATGAAATAACTAAAAGTTATCTGGACCCAATAAAGTGGTTTATTTTTACAAAATGTATTATTATTGATCTTTGTGGTCATTTTTAAAGAATTGACTGTCGAAATAAAAAGGCAGCATCCTGCTAACTTTTTCACTTTTATTATTTCATCTTTGGTTCTGCACTTACATGGCCATTATGACTTCAATTCATGAGACGGGAATCAGACCTAATGAAATTCTGGACTTTATTTCCACTTTTTTCACTTTTATTATTTCTATTGTCTGTATCATGTATCACCTTAAACGTTGGTCAGTCAGTGCAAACATGTCTAAGCTAGGCCCTAGGCCTATTTTGATAAGAAAATAAATAAATACAAGGTAATCGTATAGTTTAGGACATCTCTCTGTTTTACAACTTCTCATCACAAATCAAAACACTGCTCCCTTTCCACAAAATTAAGGTAGCTGAAATTCATCATGGTATCTTAGCGAACTACATGTATTTAGATGATTCCAAACACATAAAGTGACTTTTTCTGCTTGTATCACAGCCAAATGTTTTCGTATTAAACACCAAAATATGAAAGTGTCTTTTCGTTCTCTTATAAAGTTATATGGAACGGGGTCCTAAAGTACACGATTACCAACAAAAAAAAAGTCCTGGGCCTACATGAAGAAGTAAGGGAAACTTTCAAATTTTTGAAGAAACACTTAAAAATTTAAATCAAATAATTCACAACCCCAGACCCTTTGTTAATGAGCAAACGAGAAATTGGCAGATTATTGAATATCTTTTTTTAATCACAAACCTGTTGGGGGAAAAAAACATTTAAACCCCCTGAATATTTGTTTGTTTATTAGGCCTATTTATTTATCTATGAGGCTCCATAAATCGGCGCAGGTAACGCTTGCAAAGCGCGCGCGTTGTCCAATGTAAAATGAATGCGAGTGAGTCAAAATAGGATCTCGTAAAGTTAAGGGGTCTGACGATACAATTTACATAAAATTAAAATATTATTTTTACAGCTCTTTTTTTTAATTTTTATTTTTTAGCTCACTTTCATTTTTGGTGCACTGACATACTCCTTCCCCTGGCAATCCGTTTGGTACGAGTCCACAGAATGTTCTGGTTTTCTTTGCAAGTCTGCCATCGCCATATTGCCGAATTCATTCAGTGACGACTCCCCCAAAAGTTTTTGCAAGTGGCCACTCAGCGTCGAGTTTGCAACTGCAGGACCAGTGCGAGTACGGCGCTTGCTCGTTTTCGAACTCTTCCGCTTGTACCGCTGAAAGACGAAATAAATCACTGCGAATCCGACAAGAAGGCCTGCAATGATAGCAGGAAGGTGACTGTCGGACATCGTACACTGTGACGGTTTCGAGACTGGTGAAAATGCACGGATAACATGATTAATTTGTTAAGGAAGAGAGCGTTCACACATCTTTCACTTTTGGAATGTCCGCCATGTTTATTTACTATTTCTAATTAAACACGAGAGGGCGCACTTCATTTGTTATTTGTTCAGGCACTCGGAACAGCTCCATATGCATTATGAGCAATTGGGGGGGGGGGGGGGGGGACGCAGCCCAATCCCCCCAGTGTCCCACCCAGTGTCCCAATCTCCCAGTGTCCCGCTCAGTGTCCCAATCCCCCCAGTGTCCCACTCGGTGTCCCAATCCCCCCCAGTGCCCCAATCCCCTCAATGTCCCACCCAGTGTACCCCCTCCCTCTCCCCCAACCAGTGGCATAGCCAGCCCGGATTGTCAGTGGGGCCGGGGTAGTCTATGCATGGGCTCCTTGGATAACGGGTGACAGACTGGAGGGGGGGGGGGGGGGGGAGCACCAGCATGTTATGAGGGGGCACCAAGGGCGGACCCAACAACAGTTTCACCAAAATTCCAGGCCCACCAACTGAGCAGGCAAGCGCTGGAAAACTTCGAAAAGCGGGGGTGGGGTGACCTCTTTTTATGCTAGAAGGTGCTATTTTTTCTGATTAATTAATTAACATGTCATGAATTAGGGGGGGAGGGGTGGACTGTTTTTGGGACTTAGAATTTTTGTCGTGACGAATCATTGGTTCTGCACTTAACATAGCCAATTGTGACTTCTATTCACGAGGAATCACACCTAATGAAATTCTTGACCTTATTTCTCTTATTAAAAATCCTCCAGAGCGATGAATCAGAGAAAGAAAATGACTATTAAATTAATTAAATGTGGGATTCACTTGAAAACAATAAAAGAAGGTAATTCTTCAGTTTTTGGGACAACAAATAAAGTTTCAAAAACAACGGCAAGGCTTGGATTCGAATGTGCACTTTTTTATTTTATTTGAAGGGTCCATGTGATGAATTTTTCTCAAGGACATATATGTATTTTGTGCAATTTTCTACTCGTAAATGTATGAAAATCATTTATCTCTTGTTGGTTAATTTTATTGAAAAGTACACTGCTGCTGTGATGTCATTTCAGGAAGCCACTGTTCAGTTAAGGGGTTTTCTGTTTAAATTGTGAAAACATTTGTGAGAAAGGTTTGCTCATTGGCCTATTGCCATGTACTGACACATCAAGGAATCACCATTATCAAAGAAAAAACAAATTTACGACAGCAAAATATCCAGAATTCTAGCAACTTTTTGTTCTGAAAGAGCTGTAACGTTGAGGTTTCTGCCCGGAATGACATCACAGTTTTGCTCATGAATATGGAAATTTTCATTAGCATAAAAACCAAAAGGGCACCAAAATACCCTTGAAAATGGCAAAACAAAAATTGAAAATAAGGTTAAATGGGTCACAAAGTTGCATTTTCAAGGTTTACATTACACAAATTACATTGCATTGCCGTTTGACATAGCATGTGACTTTGACGGGTTAGTTTCTTGTGCACAAATTCATATTGTTCGCACGCGTTTCACTGTTTTTGAACTCATGCGGCAATCTCTTTTGCCCAATTGTCGCAAAAGAATTGATGTTCATATCGTGGTGAGTAAATTCAAAATAAGTTACAATGTTCATCTTTCCACAGCATTAACACGATATAACAAAACGATTGTTGATTGATGTGATGTGGGACATGGGTTTTGTTTCACCCTTGATGATGCATAACTTCATGTTATGCAATTCCTCTGATTCACTTCATGTCATGCACCCCTTCAAAAACTACCATGTCTCACACCACAGCAGTCAACAATTGTCAAATATCCACTCTGCATTGCTGAATAACATGATTCTCTGAATATGCAATTCAAAATTTCTAAAGTCATTCTGTTGTACAAAATGACACTCCAATTTTAGAAACTTATTTTTCTAACTAAAATATATACACACACGTACAGTGTAATAACAGGCCTATAGATGCAGCACCCTCAAATTCAGGTGTAACATGTTTCCATGACACTTAGTTTTCAAAATATCAAATACAGTCTGCCACTTAATATTAAAAAGGATTTCTTCATAAAATGATTCCTCAATATCAAAATTCCACAGAAGTTTCCAAAACATTTCAATCATTTACAATTTAAATATGATTTTACTGTGTGTCAAATCATGTCCATAGTACTTGACCAGACAATTAAAATAAATGTAATTACAAGTAATTCAAAAATAAATTCCCTTAATGTGATCAAGTCATAGAACCATGGGCAACAACAAAACCTGCTCAAGATCAGCACAATGACCAAAATACTTAGTCTACGGGAAGCAGAGAAAATGCTTTACATGCTTGTGTATTTGCACAATGCACAAGCTCACCTATTCTAGCATTTTACACTCAAATTGATTACCGTTTGAAAGTTGATATTTATGTACAGGTGTATGTGCATTTTTCACCCGTTATTTTCTAATTATGCTATATCTACATTTAAATCCCCTCTACAAAATTGAATTTTAGAATTTTAGACTGAAAGAGTTTTATATACAGTATAAGCTTTAAAATTTATTTTTAAAAATTCATGCAAATGTTGGCGAAATAATGAAAGTATCAAAGACAGCGTTCAATATTTTGTGTCGGAAAAACTGGGGGTTAATTTGGCAGCTACGTGTATACATGTGTACATGTACATGTATGTACATAGGAAGTGCACCAATACATGTACATGTACATTATCATGCTGATTGGCCAATCAAGAAAAAGAGAGGTTTTAAATTAACATTCTAATTATAAATTTAGTTGCAGTAAAATAAGTAAATAGTACGGAAGCCTTTAAATTCATGATGCCAAATTGTGAACCTTTTTGTACATGTACCGTAGTTTTTTCCCTAAACTTCAGAACCATTTGAGTTCAATCCTTTGTACGTGTACATGTCTTGAACACCAAAAGACATACCTGCAATAAATGTATGTACAAGCTACAAAACCACAAAACCAATTACGATACTGTCTTATTCATAAGCAGCTACATTGTATATAAAAACAAAATTGCGAGTTGGTTATTGCAATACATGTACATGTATGACATTTGTACTTACATGTAACTAAAACTGTTGAACTGTATTACATGTACATGTATGCATGGTAGTCGCCAGGATTTTTTCTAGAGGGGGCCTTTGAAGCTCTCAAAATCCTTGTACTTTCTCGAGCATATTCCCAATTTATCATTTTTTTTAGGGTGAGTGGGGGGGGGGGGGGGTACATTTGCTCACTTCATTTGATTTCACACCACATCAAATTATCAGCAAACCCTTGCCCATGTTTCACTTGTTGCATTACATGTACATGTAGAGCTCTTTGAATAGTGCCTGAAAGTGCACATGTTCTTTGCTGGTTTTTTTTGCAAAGAAAATCGGTATTGCACGGGCAATGTTCATCATCATCAAGTTGACTCTCGTCGAACTGCAACAAAGGCGCGCCATATACATCACGGTCTCCCATGGCCTTCCTGATCTCGGCTGCAGAGGCTAGCCCAGTGTCCCGACGCAGCAATGTATGATCAAATCTACATTTTATATGTAATGGATTCAATCAGGCACCTTGATTACATGGAATCTTGCCTTTCTAAAAAAATCCCAAGGAGCAGCAAATCGCTTCGATGTATTCTTTCAAAGGTGGTTGTGTTGAATACATTCCTCCCTGTATACTTCTGTTAGGTGCAGCCCCTTTCATGTAACTCACTGTGTTATCACTATTGATTTTCAAGCCAAGAGCAATATGACCTTTATTGGCAAGAGCTTTCTTTACTGCTATGAATAACAAGTTGTCACTGCCTCTGCTTGCTTTCACGATTGTAACACTTCCACATGGACGCATGGTGGGCTCCACTCGAAACATAGACGGCAAACCAAATTCATCAGTTACTGTATCGTATGAAACATCTCTTGGCAGTAGGTCAAGATGGGTTGCATCCACATGCAGCAAGGATTCACTGCTAGCTGTCGCTTGTTCTTCGGGCAGTCTGTGAGCACTTGACACAACCTTGGTTCCCCACTTAACAATCTGATCATACATTTCAACAGGAAAGCACCTTGATGCTTTGTCTCCCACAGTGAATGTTTCTGTTTCTGTTTCCAGCATACTTAAGATCTCCAATTCCAAATGCTCGTCTTCAGGTCCCATGTGGTAAGCTTTAAAATTCGCTTCACTATAAAACATGAGAATGTGCATTGGTCCACAAGAGATCCATGCCGCACATCCTTCGGGTTCAGTTCCTGTGGGTTCCTTAGAAATATATGCATTAAACATCTCGTAGAAGAACCGTTGGTTTGTGGAACCATCAGGTTTGATCTGTTGATCAAGTTCAGAATTGGGAGCAAAAATGAACAATTTCACCTTGTATTGTACATGGTGTATCTGCTTTGAATCCTGCCAGTCTAACAGGTATCTACGAAGGCACTCTAACAATTGAAAACAATCGACATTCTGAGAACTAAAACACAAGATCCGCCAAACGATCGAAATACAAGAATAAAAGAGCCATGGGAAACCGTCATTCTGAGTTGTCACTTTAAGTCTTTGGTCTGTATTATGAAACAACCGTTTGAAGAACTTTGGATTCAAATGGGTTTCCCCTTGTTGAAACTTCCCCTCACAGTCTGGACAAAAGGCGTAGTATGCCAACTTGGACGCCGTGACTCCTGTTCCACGAGAACAATCCAGGAACATGTCTCTTCCTGCTTCCCTCAGTATTGAAAGTGGGTAGAGGTGGCCCCGTTGGGTTGGCGTCTTTGTTACATCATGACAAAGAAGGCAAACGGGAAGTTTGTCACTGGGCCTCCACCGGTGTAGCAGCGGTGCCAGTTTGTACAAATCCAGGGGATCAACCCTGCCTTCCCTCTTCTGTTTAATAACACGGTCCTTCTGTTCTTTGTAGTCCTTTTCACTTGCCATCATGCATCACATCACGCACACCAAACGTAACACCTAAATTCCAAGAAAGTCAAGAAGATTGTTGTTAACATACATCTAGAAAATTAAGATAACTTTCGAAACTTGGATGTAATGAGTACATGTCTTCCTTTCCTACATGTACGTACATGTACATATGAATCAAGAACCTCAAGGTTCATTAATTACGAACATTAGTTTAAACAACGAAGCTCCAGCAGGATTTGTAATATTTTTTTTTGAATTGAAATAAAATCTTTACTGCAAAACAGAATTTACAAATAGTAATTTTTCACAGCACGCCTTATGTCTTTTTGACCATTCATCATTTTGTAGTTCCATTGTGCATGCCTTTATGCATTACAACTGCAAATCCCAGTTCAAGTTCAGCCAGAACAATGAGGCATTCCGGAACAACCAGTGTTCCCCGGAACATTTCTTTTAGTTTTCACAAATGAATGAATTTAATGTGGTGAGGGATACAAAATCTGTCTCTTCCTGAAAACTGACCATTTGTCAAGTTTTCTTGCCACCTCTTTATGTAAAATTGGAAGGCATGGACCCCTCAATGAGTTGAAACTTGAAAGGCTTAATTAGGTACCGGTAGGCTTTGCAAGCAGCAACAATGCTGATCAAATCTAATCAATCAAATTAAACACTGAATCAAATTAAATCAAAGTACGGATCAACCTATTTAAATTGCTTCACATATTGTCTAGCCTTACCCACCCCTATTTCAAAAGTGAAGCATACAGAATGTCCTAAAAAGTCAAATTTAGCAGGGAAAATATTGAAGTATTCACTGAGAAAACACTTAAAAATTTTCAGACAAGTCGCATACAGATATGGAAATCTTTCCCTTTATTTTTATATTAATTATTATAATTTGCTTTCGAGCCAACTCGTACCTGTGTCAACTCGTACATTTTGTACCTTGGACAACTCGTGCCTTGGACAACTCGTACCTTGGACATCTTGTACCCTTGACAACTCGTACCTTGGTCAACTCGTACCTTCATTTAAGACAACTCATACCATATACAATATGTAAGGTACAGTACGTGCGTGACTTCTTTACAGTGCGTGGTTCCTTGACTCCCGAATAATATACGATGCTTTTCAATTGCAAGTTAATTCCTATCCCATAGAACCACATTCCAATGGCTTTGCACAAATGGCAAACTAAGCGTGATCCGCGTTGGGCCTGCCGCCATGGCAAAGAAATTCGCTGCCAGGACTTGTTGAAATGACAGAGCCTTCTCAAAAATCACATTCGTGTATATTTTAATACACAATCCACTTTCAATGAGTTATGGCCAGTCCATTCCAGCCGGCCTCAGATCATTGTCCTGACTGACGGTACGACTTGACTTACGCGTGACAGCAAGTCATCTTAACTGAAGGTACGACTTGGCGAAGGTACGAGTTGTCCAATGTGTCCAAGGTACGATTGGTATAAATGATGTCGAGTTCAAGGTACGAGTTGTTCAAGGTACGAGTTGCCCAAGCCAAGGAAGGTACGAGATGACCTGTTTCCTATAATTTGATTTTACATACAGCTCTTTCGTTTTCAATTTCATTTTTTTCCTTTTTTCTTTACTTTTTACTTAATACTAGCTCACTTTTCTTTCATATTGGTGACGTGCACTAGCTACTCCTTAATGCCTGGCAATCCGCTTGGGACCAGTCCACAGACTGAGACATGACAGAATGCTCTGCAGCCATCTGCCATCGCCATACAACCAAATTCATTCAGGGTCGCAACAGTTTTTGCAAGTGAACTCAGTCACATGTCAGTGTCAAGTGCATATTAGTTTTTATTACATTTAATAAATTACAATGTCACTCATTGACAGATTTGGTCTGATCATGCTCAAATACTAGTGTTGTAACCATGGTAACTTACATGTCATGCATGTCATGCATGTAGAATGACTAGCGCCCCATCCCCGGCCCCATCGACGAACGCAATCTCAATTTCAGAATGCGAATACAAGAAGAAGGCCTGCAATGATGCTAGCAGGAAGGTGACTATCGACATCATAGTATGACGGTTTTCGAAACTGGTGTGGTGAAAATGTAAAACACATTGCTAGGAGTGGGATACTAGACTGGAATGGCCGCCATAGCCATGCGCCAACGCCCAAAATGATTTATTCTTCAGAAGTACGAGAGCTAGAGGGCGCACTTCATTTGTTGTTTTTCGGCATTTCATCATGGCATCCGACATCACATCGCTCTTCAAAGCTTCTGTTAAGACCGTTCGAACCAGAAATAAAGGGCTTGGAAGTGGCAAAGAGGCAGGGAACAGCTCCATTTTGAGTCATGCCAGAAATAAGACCGAATTTGCAATCAAAGCGAGGGATGTGGTGAGTTACATGCTTACAGTCTGCTCCGATTATCCGTCATTGTATTGTGTGGCCTTGCTCAGTTGCTGGATCTTGATCTTGCTGACTCGATTCGTCCACGTTGGCACTCAGACTGTGTGAATCCCGGGGGGCGGAGCAGGGCGGGGGGGGGGGGAGGAAGTTGGATGCCTTAGACCTGTGGTTGAAAGACACTAACTACAACGGCCTATGTGTAACTCATTTATCGCCAGGATTCAGTAAAGAGATTTAACTTGAAAGTGGAATCAGTGTTGGTGAAGTGAAGGAGTTTTTTTTATATAAAAGTGATCCCCTTTTGATTCTATTTCTAATTTTAGGCAAACACTATCAGCAAGCTGAAAGACTTCTTATTGGAACATCGGAGGGACTATATAAATGCTGCCAGGTACGAGCGAGGCACCAAGGAAGGCAGTGGATATTTGACCGGCGTGGGATTTCTTTTAGTAAACATTATTTTCACGGAGGCTTTCTCTGCCGCAGCTTTCCATTAATGAACGCTACTTGCCAGAGGAATCAAAGACGTCCTCCGGAAAAGTAACGTTCACTAAAACAAAACCATCGCCGGCTAAATATCCACTGCCACCAAAGAATGAATGTTTAACTATAAATAGACTCAAGAGTTGTTATCAAGCCATCACCGGCCAATCAAAGTCAATCATAAATAATCCAGATTCAATTCATTCTAGATCATCCTTCTCATTCCAGTACATCTCGGAATCAGTCGTTTTATTACCAAGAATTCCTTTCCAAATATGTTGATCATTTGAAACATGTATCAGTCTTAACCCCCCCCCCCCCTTCTGTCTGTAGTCACCTGACTTCAGATGCTGGCCGCATGACAGATGCAGAGAGGGATCAGATAGACACGGATGCGCAGCAATTTATGAGAACCTGCTCGGAGACCATCAGGATATTCAAGACGGAAGGTGGGTCAAAGTTGATCTGCCAGGCAGCAGTGGTTTAGTCCAGTCCATCAAGTGTGGTCAGAAGTATCTCAGATGTCCTTGCACAAATTGTCTAGTAACTAGTAACAGGAGATGCACAATAACAAAGGAATGCCTTTGTCTCATTTGAAAAGCTTGCTTACTGACTGGAGACTCTAAGGACTTGTGATCGACTATTTGAAGACTTAAGATATCTCGTGATGGACTAAGTTACCACACTCCTAGGCAGTACTGTACTTTTTTCACAATGTGCGTATCAGATAGTTTTATTTCAAACTTGTGTTTTGGGGGGCATAGACATAGCAAACCAAACTGAAAGATTCTTACATTTTGTTTTTATGTTTCCTGTTTCTAGTTTTCAAGCAGACCATGCCAGCTCAGGTTCGCTCACACAAGGAAGCCGTCTTTGAATTGTTACAAGAATATCTGAAAGGTTTGCCCTTTTTTGTCATAAGGCCTTTTTCACACTACACAAATCTCTGGGTTGAATCGGGTTGACAGAGTGTTGAAAACATGCTGCGTTTCACACTTGAAATTTTTTGACCCTGCGCCAACCCTGCGATTGAGTCGACACTGATTGAACTCCGACACTGATTGCCAGGGTGGAGATTTTTAAACCAGGGATGAAACTCCTGCCAGGGTTCAAAACGGCAGTAACCGAACAAAATAAGCTCGCCTTGCACGGAACAGGTGTGAAATGATTCGGGGTTGAATGCCGGGTTGAAAAATGAAAAACTCAACCTGAGGCGGCACTGGGTTCACCCAGGGTTGAGATCAACCCAGGTTGAGAGGCTCTATTGTGAAAAGTTAATTCCAACTCAGTAGTTGAGACAGTCCTTTCTAAAGTGTTCTAATTGAAACACAAGTTGGGATGGTCCCAGTTTAAGTTAAGACCACAGTCTAGTTGGAGTGTAACAAGATTAGAGTTATGTGACGGAGCATTTCAACACTAAAACTACAGTTGCATATTTTGGTGCCACAAATACAATTTTAAAAAACCCAACTCCATCAAGGTTTTTGATTTATTTCAGCCGTGTGTAAGCTGTACAGCGAGCAAAGAGCAGTCCGTGTCAAAAGGGTCGTCGACAAGAAAAGAATGTAAGTTAGTCTCCCATGGACCAAAGGAAAGTCACTGTTCCAAGTTAACATCGGGCATGTAAGATTCTCACTCCTAAAGAAAAGAAATTCTTCAAGTAAGACTCGAGATGAAATCTGTACAGTGTACCATGTGCCGACATCATGCCTTAGGTGAACAGGGGCAGGCATAGCAAAATGTGATGATATAATCTGGAAAGACTAGCCATCTAACTAGACTTCCTGACTTATTCTATTGTTAACATTTGAAAAAAAAAAAGTCATGGGCATTTCAGCCTTCTAGTTAAAGGTTTATTTTTGTTGTTGATTGGATTTAGATCCAGGCTTCAGCCAAAGCAGTCCTCCTTTTCCAACAAGCTGCAGCCATCGGCAACCAGCACACCAACCAAAGCTACTCAAGGTATTTGCCAACTGTTCTCAGAGAAAACAAAGAGCCCTCGGAAGAAACCGAAACTGTCTTTAATTATCATAATTTGATATCTTGGCTGAATAGTTGATAGCAACACTCTCCAATATCAATCTCTTTGATGACATAGTTATTGCATGGCTACGCATGTATTTGTTTCAGATTCTGGGTCCCCTGACTTAGAAACGACCAATCAGGAAGAAGACACGGAAGAGTTTTCCCCAGAGGAGGTTCAAATGGTGAGGCAACTTTTGTTTTTTCTCCTCTTTGGCTTCTCCTTAAAGTTGTAGGAAGTATTCTCTGCTTGCCATTTTCAAGGTTTCAACAGTGATTTTTACAACACAGTTCTTGTTTTATGACCATCTTTATTTCCCCAAATCCATGAAATGGTAATAGCGCCCTCTATATTAGTGCACAAAATTAAAACATAAATGACAGTGGATTTGTTCTTTGATTGATCATGCTTTGTTTTGTAATGATCTGTGCGTGTCTGAACTATTGGTTGTTTGTCTGTGATTTTAGTTTGAGCAAGAGAACAAGAAACTGTTCAATGAGATGAACTGCCTGGTGGATGAAGTCAGGTGAGACAGTCCTCAGCTCAGTAAGCCTAACACTTTCAGGCATTTCTGCTCGCATTGTCTGCTCGATATTTGTAGAGCACTGATTTCCCTTAAGATAAATGGTAACAACACTTTTATGGTTCGATAAATATTGCAGGCAGATAGAAGGCAAGGTGGTTGAAATCACCAAGTTGCAGGAGATATTTGCAGACAAGGTCTTACAGCAGGTATGTTACCCTGAGTTAGCACAATTTGACACGACTCATGACTGACACGGACTTGGCCAGACGACACGAGGCAAGTGACTTAAGACTTCATGACAGACATAACCACATGCGATGGCCAGTGCTTAATCAAGACATAACTTAGGATTGACCAAAATAATTGGAGAAATGACTTGGGATTGACCAAAGAGACTTGACTTGGGACATCAGACATGACTTGTAATAGACCAATTGAACTTCAGAAATGACTTAGTCTTTGGAATTGACACGTGTGGCATAAGGGATAACATGGGACTTGACCATAATACCTGGAGATTTAACTTGGGATCTTAACCTCATGGGCTTGGCGTAAGCTTTGGAGTTGGCTAGAGCGCTTTTGAGATTCTCTCTGTTTGTTTCATGCTACCAGGAAGCTGACATTGACAGGATAGCAGACACGGTTGTCGCGACAACAGAGAACATCAAAGAAGGCAATGAAGACATCAGAGAGGTACGTTTTCACTTTTAAAAATGTAAAATAGAAAACAATCTCCAACTAAATCGAACGTAAAAGCTGCTACCAAACATAGTCCCTTTCGTTTTCATCTCTATTTCAGTAATCTAGACAGAGTTTTACCAGACCATGATTATCTGCACACTCATAACTTTTCAGCCCATTAGAATGAAAGAGCGCCCTCTATAAGTCAAAACGGGAGATGCATGTTCTGTACACCTACATGTATCACAACTGGGGCCAGATTCATAGAGTTACCTGCCAAGCACAGTAGTTATTTGCCCAGCAAAAACTGCTTACCAGCCAAAATGTCATGCAAGGTATATTGCTTGTGACTGGTCCTCCGCTGATTCATGCCTTGCATGTAAATTTCCTCGAAAATTTTTCTGCATAGCATCTCTATGAAATTGTTCCCTGAAAATCTGTCGGAGGTACTTTTTCTCACTATTTTGGGTGTTTTTGTCTTTCAGGCAATCAAGAATAATGCCGGCTTCCGTGTTTGGATTCTGTTCTTCCTGGTCATGTGTTCATTCTCCCTGCTGTTTCTGGATTGGTACAGCTAGGGTGGGGGACAGGGTCATGGTGGGGCAGGGGGTGGGGCAGGGGGTGGGGGTGGGGGTGGGGGTGAGGGACAGGGTGTTGAGGGACAGGGTCATGGTGGGGGGGGGGGGGGTACTGGCACCATTTTCATGGAGGTCCGTGCTCGCCCCCTCCCCCTCCATTAAAAATCATTAATTGCACAAAAACAATACATTGTTTGTCTTCAGTGCCCCATTGAAAACTTGGTGCCCCACCAGGGCCCCCCCCCTCCAAAAAAGTTAAACACTGGTTACGCTGCTGCTTGTGAGGGGCTTGTGATGGATTTGTGGGGGGGGGTCTTGACTACACATATAAGCCGAGTGAGCTTAATCCACTTCGCAAAGATGCGCATTACTATTTGTCACATCCAAGAATTTCAGACTTGGCCTTAGTTGCCAATAGAGGTTTTGCTATCATATTCACCGTGTGTCTCTAAAGCTTTAGAGACACACGGTGAATATGAACACTCGTTAAACTCTTTTCAATCGGTCATGAGGTCTGTGGGAAGTATAATTTCAAATTTATCCAGAAATCAAGAACTTGACAAAAGTGAGCTGAGGCAACTTTCTGTCTGAAAGAGTACTGCTGTATCTTTATTGCTTGGAATCAAATATAAGCCTTTATCATGTACATAAATTACACAAAATTATCATACAATGTAAACTTGAAAATTGCTGAATAAATCTTTGATTTAAAAAATAAAAATTGGCTCGGATGTATTTTCATTTAACTCTGTATATAAGTTTCAGCCTCTGGAATGTCCAGTCAAATTAGAAAAAAAATCAATTACAAGTGATTCTTGACTCGGTGACAAAACTCAAAATTGTAGACTGAAAACAAATAAATAAAATACTAATACTATTTCTTTTCCAAAAAAAACAAAAAAAAACAATTTGTTGTAATTTAAGGGAATACCATGTTCACCCTGACCCTACCGGGTCCTTGAAAAACCACCCAGAGTCTTGGGAAGATTTTGCAAGATGCAGGAAAAGTACCCAGCCATTCAAAATTACGCAAGACAGCGAAGCCTCTTGATAGTCAAGTACAAAGAATGGACCGCTGGGTTCTTGCACATCCTAGAGAACTCGGGAAGGCTTACAGCACAAGGACTAATGAGTTAAAGATACATGTAGCATAGCACAGTGATTGTAATTTTTTTAGTTATAATATCCTCTTCACATACTGACCACAAGGGTAGATCTGGGGGGGGACAGGGGGAGGGGGCAGAGGGTGTGCCGGGGGGGGGGGGGGGGAATGGGCTCTCTCAAGTTAAAAATGGCCATATTTTGAGCAAATTTTGGTCAATGCCGGGGGGGGGGACCATTTAGAAATGCATAATGCTGAGACATTCAAATAACATTCATTTTACTTGTACATACATGTACTGCCAATACATTTCTCTTAAATAATGACCAAATCCCTGAGGGTTTCAAGTCTTACTACTCCACATCTTGGATAGCAATCAAGTTGCCGGCGTGTCAAATAATTCCCAGAGGAATTCACAAGGGTGATGTAAAGCCTGATCTCATCCCTAAGGAAATACAGATCCGGATTGGATGCCAAACAATCTGGGTTATAAATTTCATTTGTACAAATTTTACCACATCCAGTTCCGTCTGACCCACTTGTAATTGTACATTTGTACCCCATAACACACATTGTAGTGCACTTTTCTACACCCCAAATTCATCCTTGAATTACAACAAAAAAGGGCACAGTCACATCTTCACGTGAGCGCATTTTACCCGGAAAATGCATTATTGACCAAAAGAGGCAATAAGGAAAGTATTGGGATTTTCCTTGTACAAACTGAAAATTCAAAACCCCTCCAAAAGTGAACCAAACGGGCAAATAAGACGATCAGAAATTCTGATACGTTTAACCTTTTTACCAAGAAATTCCCTTTGGGAAATCCCGAGCACGTGCTGATCTGTAATTGCATACACACCAGCTGACTTTCACTTCTGTCTCCTACCCTCCCTCCTTTCCTTTTCCAACCCAGAACAATCGAGCCGAGGATGTTCAACCCATTTTCCCGTCATCTGACAACTTTTTCTTTGAAACCGCACTCAAAAAAAGTATCACGTCTCGGGCACGAACTAGCTCACCTGTGGATTGGATAATACAATGCGTGCTAGGACGTCCCCTAATGCTCGCAACTTTTTTTTGGTTTCTGCCGCAACTTTAACCTTGAGGCACCTGTGAAGTTCAAACAGTATTTAGCCTGTACCTGGGCCATTGTATCGGCCACTCTTACGCCCCCTGCGGCACAAGTCAACACAACCCTCTGTAACCAATCATTGTCGGTTTAATTTTTTTTTCAATGAAACCGGCCGACTGAATAAGAAATTCTCATGAAAGAAGGAGGGAGTGAGGTGTGCATTGTTTCATTACAACTAGACATAAGCTGCGTTTCGCACGCTCCCTTTTCCCTACAGGGGGTGGGTGGTGTTACTGTCCAAAACCTCAATCCAGGCAGACGTGCAGTCACAGCTGGGCCTCCAGACACGGTCATAATTATCCACAGATTAGGCAGCTAGCCTCGCCCTCCAGCAACCCCTGACCAAGATCTGACAGCCAGCATCTTAACCTGTCTTTGACCTTCTCTCCAGCCGGTCTAAGCGACATGGGTAGGGCCTCTCTGACAAGGTAGGGCCTTCCAGCCTGCCACGAGACCCTCAGGCGATTCCACCTGACACACAAGACCCCAGTGTGTCGTTGAAAGGTGTCTTTATCTCTTCTCAGTGGGACTTTCGGTTATTACAGAGTGTTACAATTATCCTGCGCTCTTTCTTATTTCACCTAGGTGAGGTCGGTCCCCAGCCTATCAGAACCTCAAAGGAAAACGCCGCTCTCCTTCTGTGGCATATCGTCACAGGTACAAACACCACACCTGCTGAATGCACACATGTCCACTTGTCTTTAAGTGATTTCAGATGATCTAAACCATATTGCCGGGTTCACAAAAACCGCCATATACTATTACAGAGCAAACAGAGAGTATTTTATTGCCTTCAGGCCAAAAAAATGGAACAACCTAAATAATAACGTGCATCTTAAGCAATATCATATGAGACTGCAGGAGTCAATATAATTCCCGACCACTCCTCCTTCAAAATCTCCAACAATTAACACTGATCTCTCTCTCCCTATAATAATCGACCACAATTGGCTGGGTTGGGCCCGGGCTAAGAAATGACACAAACAGGTGCAATGAGATTTCTGAGGCCATTCAACTCTGGCCACGTTTCACTCATACTTGTGAATATTTTGCTGCAGTAACAAAATGTTCTTATTAAACCAATTTTAAGTTTAAATATTCTTCTTCAAAATCTTCAGACGAAGACAGTTGTACATGTCGCTACAAGGTGCACGTATTACATATTGCATATATTCTTTCAGGGTGAAATTAAAAACTACTTTTCAAATTTTGTGTAATTCAACCTTGAATTCTGATTCAGGAAAAAGGACCAAGAGGAAAGTGTTCTGTCAATTTGAATCGGAAATTATAGGATATCCTACCCAGAAGCTCAAATGACATCACAATTTATCCTCAGGAAATTGGTCCATACATGTACTTGACACAAATTGTTTTTTAATGAAATGTAAATGGTTACACACGAGTTAATTTTTTTGTGTCAACTGAAAGAACTTCTTTTCAGTAAATGTAAAATTCCACCTTAAATAATGTAGACCTTTTAAAAAATACAGCTGTACAAAAGTATTTTTCTCAAAAATTAGGTCAATGGAAAAGCATATGTAAACTTTAGACATTCTGATTCTCTAATTCCCTTCAAATTGGAAGCATTTTCAATATTGTTCTGATATTCAAGTTAAAACACCTTCTTATCAGACCAAGAAAATTAATTGCTGATAATCCACTTGCTACCGCACATCAAAAGCGTCGTTTGTTGTATCTAGCACCCTTTCTAATTTGCCAAGGAAAATCACTGCCTTTGCATCTCTCCAAGAAACTGATCTCGTTCTTGTTCTCATTCACACTGAGCAGGGCTAATCAATTCTCTCCCTCCCTCTTGATTGGACGATTGGCAAAAATGCTGGCTTTAACTATGGAGCCGCCGTAGAGGTCAAAGATCACTGACCTGAGGATATGACCCCTTTCTTCAGAATGAGGTTGCCATACAATGCCTCCTCACTGTGAAAAAAAAAAGGGGGAAAAATACCGATTAATAGCAATTCCGAGAGGGGTTTTAAACTAAAATTGTTCAAATATCACTGAAAAGTGTAAAGATGGTCCGTATTAAATATGGCACCTGAATCAGGACAACAAATTTCAGTTTTTATATCTTTGCATTTTAATTTAAAAAAATGTAAAAAAAAATGGTAGGATTGAAAGTTAATGAAAATTGTTGAATAAAGTAGTTAAAGAAATTGCAATTGAGTGTGAAGTTGCACAATGGAAACTGCATTACAACATCACTTCACACATTGGCGGATGGGGGGGGGGGAAGCAACAGAAGCCATGTCCCCCCCCCCTCCAAATGATTCTTGATCTGCCCTTGCCTTCACATTTATGTCTTGACTGTTTACGACTGAGAGGAGAATGTCAATTCACATAATGGAATACGAGTACAATTATTCATTTCTGTCCTTATTTGTTTCAGAACACTGATTGACAAATAAACATATTAAAAATGACATATCGATGAGTCATTCCAACCCCCCAACCCCCCCTTCCAACAATTGGAAAAATCCCAGGAATTTCAGGGTCTTATTATTGTGTTGTTGATGGGTTACCTCACCTCCACAGGGTGAAAGTGTTAAGAGGTCCTCCAGTCTAACCATTGTTGACTAACATCAACAGACATTATAAAATATTTCAATTTTGTTTGACCTTCCAAAGTAAGCCCGTCACTCTCTGGGGATATTTAATAGAGGTGAACAATTTGACATGTTTGTTTGATTTTGAGAGTAGCAGTTATAAACAACCTGTTATTCTTTTTTTGACCAAAAATACCAACAATTGTTCCGGTGGGACCCGGTTTAACAATACACAACTACTTCTTGTCAAAACTTATCATCCTTGCAGGTTGTAACGGCTGTCAGTCAATCGTTATTGGCCCTAGACTTGGGATCAACCTCTCAACGGGAAAAATTGTAAATGCTTGGGGGGAGGCCGATTAAGAATGACATGGATACATGGTTCTATATTTACTGCCTCAGACAAAAACCAACCATTCACATCAATCAAGATCTCAGTGGTTTTGGGTCGCCTTCAGAGAAAGTCTGATTAGGATGTTGACTTACATATTTTTTTTTTTTAGATATTCAGCAAGGGACACATTATAACCACCTCTCGAGAAAATCAACAATGTATTAGGACAACCACTGCTCGATTACAGAGACCCTAGTTTAGGAATTTGCATATAATGCATGTTTACAGCCACTGTATGCAGATATGATAGAGGAAGGGTATCAAACGGTCATTTTGTGGGGGGGGGGGGGGGGGGGAGTGTTGCAGTGAACCACATGCAAGTGTTGTCAGATCCGAACCTGCTATCTGTTTGTCCGACATCCAGTCTGGGGTTACATTGGGTCAAGTCTTGTGGTGCAGTGGCTCTAAGTGAGGACCGGTACCTTGTTGGAAGGTCTTTGACCTATATCCAATAGCCGATTGTTTGACTGGTTGTGTTTGTATCTCTCCTTATCGATTATAGCATGGATGAATTACCAAGAACTGATAAAAGCTCATCGGACCTGACCTACTTTCACTGCATCTTTCTGTGACCTCTACTGCCCTCGCATGTAAGGGTATTTCCCTATTCTAACTAAAGTACACACTTCCCAACGTAACCTAAAAACAAGTCCGAATGACCATCAACAATTCTCTGATTTTTGGAATCGCACGCCTTACAGAGCCCCTCTTGATCAATATAGGTTTTTTAATAGGTTTATATAAATTAAAATGTAGCTTTATAAAGATTTTCTAAGTGCCAAAATATAGTCATTTAACCATGCAATTTTTCAGCATGAGGTAGCAGAAATGGGTTGAGAAGGGGGGGGGGGGCAGTAGGGGTCCAGGGGGAGGAGGCATGATTTGTTTGATTCACTTGTACTGCTGCATGCATCCATGTATCCTGTTAGTTATTACAATGTACTCGTAACCACAACTGCATTGTCAGTTTGAGCTTTTGATATATCAGCTTTTTGGTATGTTTTACTCTGTCCTATCCTGGATTTCTTACATCACTTACCCCGTGGCTACAACAGCAAAGGCTTTCTTTGCTCTCTCATAGAAGGCAAACCTCTCAATCTTTTCGATGTTAACCTTAACAAATGGAAACATTAAAACACAAGTCAGACATGTGCAGAATTATTTCCAAAAATCAGACAGGTCGACTTTTGAACACCCCTCCCCTCAAAAAAACTCCCATAGGTTTTGTACACGACCCCAATCGCAGTCGTACATTGTATGCTGGGAATGGGGGACGATATTGTTCTCTTTTGTTCTCTGGTATTTCTCGTCCATGGTTTGAAAAGATGAACATGTACACTAGTTCCAGGGAAGAGCTACAATTTTTTGTTAAAGCTACGTTACAATCAATTTAAATATTTTGTGATAAAAAAATACATGTACTGGAACATGTACACTGTACCAATGCATTGTCATGTACACAAGCAACAGTAAAGCCCAATGAAAACCAGTCAGAAATGCCAACTTATGAAATCTGGAGAGGAAAATGATTTTATTTGAGCCCTAATTTTGATTATGAAAAAGACCACGGGATTCTCCCACAAATGATCATACATGTACCGGTGCGTGTCATGCAAAGAATTTTTCTCTTGTCCGTAGTTATTGTGCATGTACAATGTTACAAATCAATTACGACAGTCTTGACACAGTGACTAGGCACAAGTAATCCAGATCCTTTACGTAATCCTCACAAAACTTCATTGAATTTCAACCCACGGCTGACTGACAAGTATGCTTAGAATGCGTCCTTTTTCTTCATTACCACGAGGACGCAAAGTTGAACAAAGGCAAGGTCAACCAACTGTAGCTGTTGGGGACAATTGGCAAATGAATCCAATCGTGCAATATTTCATTCAGTGAGAAGTAAACAAATAGCTTTCAATCCAGGAAAAATTTGGGGAACTTTATTTCCTCATGCGCTGCTTGTAAACAAGTGGTATTTTTTTAAAGAAAATTATGATTGACTTCTGAACCAGAGAATTTGAATTGGGAACATCACGACAACAATATTGGCGCAATACCAACTCAGTTTTCTAAAACTCCTTGAACTGGTAGTTTTAAAACCTTGTCAGTACACAAATGCACATCTACATGTATTTCTGGGGTTTTTTTAGGCACTAGTACATTAGTAAGACTATTAACTCTAGCTGCGTCCTGACCCATTATGTACATGTACATAAGGTACATGTGCATGCTAAAATTTAAAGGAACATGTAACAAAATCCAAACGCCAATACATCACACCAAATACCCGGCATATTGGACCTTGTGCAGTAATAACTTACCAGTATTAAAGGAAAATACATTTGCAAACATCGTAAAATAAAACTACCAAGTTGTTACGAAATACATTACTAGGATGTTGGTAAGTGACAGTCTAAAGCATAATGTAAAATTATGGCACCTGGTGTGAAGCCATTTTCAAGAAAATGGTATATTTGTATACATTTCCAACGCTGGTCGGCCGACTACCGTTGGAAAAACCTAACTATTTTTCAATTACTGCTCCAAATTTACCATTTTTTTTTAGTCTAAAATTTGTTTTGCTAGCTATTGGTAACATGTTCATGAACGGGTGCAGGACAGCTAGACTGGTTCCCTTACCTTACAATTTTCCGGTATTTTTGATCCATTTCATCTTTAGTGGAGTCAGGGAACCAGACTACTTGAATATTTTTGTTTTTCTTGGTTTTTCCAACATTTTCGAACACAAAACGTCAAACATGTCAGTGCAACAATATTTGATCTATTATACTAACCCCCCAAATAGTTCATTTCTGAAAATTACAGCAAAAGCCAATGATGTACATGTACATTCCCTTTAATATACTGCATGTGGTCGGCATGTACATCACACCAAATATATTGGACCTTGTGCAATAACAGTTACCAGTATTAATATACATGTACTGCATGTGGTCCGCACGAAGGGAAAGTTTATGAATGGATTGCAGCAAAAGGATTCCTCAATCCAGAATCAGGAAACCTGGGCACTTGACTAGGATATGACCTTGGCAGTCCGCCAAATTTAACATTTAACGCAGGGAACAAATACTACATAAATTTGACATGTGTAGGAATATGTAGACGGAAATAATGTCAAGTGTAGAGAGGCTGGCAACAAGTTATGCAATAAAAAATGCTAACCGCTTCAAATGTATGTGGAATTTGTTTTTAAAGGAATTATAATAAATGTCCTTAAAATATTATCTTTTGTCCATCCTCCCACGTAAAAATCAGAGTCTATAAATTCCTACTGTAGCCGCCACTCTTCATCAGCAGATGGCAAAAATAAACTTTGAAAGTACGTGGGGCATGATAATGGGCCACGGTGCCAGTTTAAAAGCGGCGAGGAATTTCAGTTTTTTTTTATTTATGAGCGACCACAAATATGTTTGTGGTGTCTGTACATTTCCACTTGAGCAGGGGACATCAATTGGGAGATAATTTGGCAGGAAGTGAGAGATCAATCCACACCTGGCTGATATTACATTTATATTCAATCCTTCCATTCAGAACTGACCAAGGGAAATGCCAAAAGTGGCAAATTCACAGTTGGACACCCTGTTATTTTTTTTTACGAGTCACCCCATGGAGCAAGGCAGGACTTAAATGGTAACAGAAGCATAACGTTATGATGAATTGACTGACAGTTCCTTAACCATGCAAACATACATTCTGTGCCAAGGTAGTCTTTTCAGTCAAAATCAATCAAGTGACTGTTTCCAACAGTTAAGAATTCCCAGCCTACCGCAGGATTGACTGGCTGTGACTGTTTATAACTTGATACAGCTTTGCTTTGACTGTAAAGCCAGCTGTGCCCACCACCTGCTTTGTCTGTTCATGGTCTGTTGACTGAGTGCTTGCTTGACATATGATCTGACTGCTGGTGACTAGCCTGTGTTAAAAGTATAAGCAGGGGAAGGGGATGGACATTTTGACTGTCTGTGACTGTTTAAAGAGCAGGAGTGTTAATACATGTACGTATGCATGATTACAGCAGTCTGATACATAGACACATGTGCTTGGACAAAGTCTGTGTACATGTGTACGCGTAAATTCTTTCCATTAATTTAACCAAACTGTACTAAAATGCAGCAATCAAATTGTTCCAAGGTACATACGTACTGCTTCAGCAAATGCCTCTACACTATAATTTACAATGTAAAACATTTCGTACATAGTTGTGGCAAATTGTTCAAATTGTTCAATTTGTTCAATTTTGGCAAATTGTTCAATTTTGCTATATCTGAGCCCACTCTTTTCACCCGACCTGATTTTACTCACATCATGCAAAACTAAGCTCCCTATTCAGCCTCATAAGCCACGGTAACGAGATACAAGGTAGCTCATCCGAATAATACCCTCATAACAACCCGACCTACATTTAGAAAGTTTGAGAGATTTCATGAGAAGAGTCTTCTTCTTACATGTTTGCCTTCTGCAGCATCCAAGAGTGTTTGATATTTATCCCAGACTGGTGTTGGAAGCTTCTCTTTCTTGTGTTCCGGAACCAAGTCCATCAGCATTGCCTGAAAGAGATGAAGAAAAACTCTACTTTGGGGAAAACCTGCAGAAACAGCCATCAAGTTCTGTGATATAATCACCACAAATGTGCATGTAATAGATTCAATCACAAGTCCAATCAAAGGATACATGTACATGTTGTAGTTCACAAGTCGAGTCACAAGTTAAGGGATGAACAATGACAAAGGAATGTCTCGTGATTAACTTGTGATTAACTTGTGATAGCTTGTGGTGACTTGTGCGACTGTTTCAATATGTCTACTAAAGAGATAATTCTTCTGATGTCATTGACAACAAATTTTAATTTTGGTTCTGTGCACACAGTTTGCCTACAATGTACAGCTTTTGGAAATCAGGTATTTATTTGACTGCCCCAAAAAAATATTTCTTCATTCCCCCCCCCCCCAAAAAAAATTGTAGAGTCAGGCACCGCCATTGATACGTACATGTAATTTGTATATTTTTAACAAAGATTTTTACATTCCAGTAGCTTTTAATATTGCACTTTGTACTCTGCAAATAATAAAATCACTTGATAGAGTTGACAGGTTTGTTCAGGGTTGAGTTAGTCCAGCAATCTTATAGTCTGCTCTTGAATAGTAGTTTCATGTACAGTACATACATACAGCCACGCTTACAAAATTACGTCTCTCATAAAAAGCACTTTCAGCTTGTTGAAGTTAAAGTACATGCACAGTGGTTTTTTTCATGGCACTGCTCTGATGAAAGGCAAAATCCTGGTCTTTAAAACGTGCACCACCCAGATGTAAAGTTCCATCCCCATTTCTTATGGTGTAAAGTAGGTCAGGCGAAACGTTACAAGAGAAAAGGGCATTTAGGGAAGTACGGTACAAGTCAATGTACTGCTCCTGTCCTGATTTTTTTTTAAAGGGAAAATACAACATTTGCAAACATCGAAAAATAAAACTACCCAGTTGTTACGAAATACCTTACTAGGATGTTGGTAAATGACAGTCTAAAGCATCCTGTAAAATTAGGGCACCTGGTGTGAAGTCATTTTCAAGAAAAATGGTACTTTTGTATACATTTCCAACTGTGGTCGGCCGACCACCGTTGAAAAAACCTAACTTTTTTTCAACTACTGCTCCATATTTACCATTGTTTTTTTTTTTTCCAAATGTTGTTTGCTATTGGTTCGATGTTCATGAATGGGTGCAGGCCAGCTAGACTGGTTCCCTTACCTTACAATTTTCCAGCATTTTTGATCCATTTCATCTTAAGTGGAGTCAGGGAACCAGACTACTTGAACATTTTTGTTTTTCTTGGTTTTTCCAGAATTTTCGAATGCAAAACTTCAAACATGTCAGTGTAACAATATTTGATCTATTATACTAACCCCCCATTCCCCCCAAATAGTTTGTTTCTGAAAATTACAGCAAAGGCCAATGATGTACGTTCCCTTTAATCAAAACAAAATTACAGCTTTTAAGATAGAAACTGACATTCTGGAAGGAGGGAAGTTGTTATCAAACATGTGTACAGTAGGTGGTACAATCAAACCTACAAGCAGAAAGATTTATTGGATTATGTGCTGGTTCATATTTCTTCATAGTTGAAAGTTGGGCTAGAAAAGGTACTTTGTCAACTGTGACAATCACGTTCCTCGAAAAAAAGAGTGTAAAGATCACGCTGAAGTCATGATACTAGAAGAATAGATCAGAGTACATGTATCATCTGCCAGTGGCATAGCCAGGGGGGCCCTTGGGGGCACATCCCCCCCCCCCACCCAAAAATATCAAAATTTGCTGTTTGCCAAGGAAGTGTCTTTTTAAAGCCTTCTTTTTTTTTTAGTTACAAAAATGAAGAGAAATCTAGATGACTATTTTTGACTTCCCTTAACCGTAGGGCTTGATGAAATGTGAATAAATTGACAGGCCTAAGAAAAAAAAAGCACCCTCTAGCATCAAAGGTCCAGGCCCCCCCCCCCCCCCTTCGAATTTGTAGCACTTGAAGTGGCCTGCAAATTTGGGAGAAATGTTGTTGGGTCTGCCCATGGAGAAATAAAACACATTCTCCATGGTCTGCCCTTGGTACCCCCTCATAACATGCTGGTGCGCCCCCCCCCCCCCTCCCTCCCCGGGCCCCCACTGAAAAAAATCCTGGCTACGCCACTGCCTCCTGCTGCAGGCATCACAGCTGAATTCCAAATATTGTTACTGTTCCTATGGTTTTTTCGGGTGGAACCAAAAATCAAACCCGTGACACAGGCTGACTCCTAATGACACAAAACTTTCAAACAGTGAACCTTTATGTTTTTTGTGTGATCTGAACAACCAAGTACGGTCAATTATAAGGATTCCTCACTTGGGGAATCTCTGTGCAATCAGATTAGAAGAAAAAAATTACGAATCGGTGAGCCGCCTACAGGCGGCTTAAGGATCAAAGTGAATGGGTGGATTGTTCTAGGGGTAACAATGCTAAAACCCTAAACAAACTTTTACTTTCACTGGGCGCCGCTGTCTTGTACAATCTTATTCTCCTTTGTTGACACTGCGCCAGACGTAAAAAGACTTTTGTGTAGGGAGAGTGCTTTCATTTTGGGACTGATCCCCCTTCACACGTCATCACAGACCTTCCTATTGTCAGGCCGGATAGCATGCCCCTGTTCATACCTAATTAATCGACCGTGGTTAATACCCAATAAGTGCGGGACATAAAAAAGAAATCACTTCCGTTTTAATAATAGCCCTGATGCCCATTGACTCCCAAGACCCGATTACACATAACGGTGGCCAAGTGGTATTACTGCCAGACTCTTTACACAATCCCCCTATCATTTATCCATTGAACAGTTAACAGTAGGCCAAACGTAAACCATTAATAAATCACCCCAGGGAACTTGAGTTTAGAGGGGCGTGCTAACATCATGGCTTCCGGACAAATACCTTGTGGTGGTTAGCGATAGCGACTGGCGACACGCCGAAAGGTCCTGATGTCTGTTGATATAAATTGGAGGTCACTCCTCAAATAAGAAGGGGGGGGGGGGCCTCCAGCACGAGTTGAACGCAATGGAATTTTTTTTCACCCTTTCTTCCCATTCATAAAAAAGTGGAGTGTAAGCTAAAGGCGTGTCCCACTGCCATTCCGTACAATGAAAACACCTGTCCATAGTGGCACCGACAATCCCTTGGCAACATGCCAACGTTAGGATGCTCAGCAACGACTGCTAGCCGGGAGTGTCAACAGAGGCGAAGTACCGCTAACACTAAATTGTGTAATATCCCTCCAAAAATTGACATCCCTGGTACGAAGGTCATCCACATAAAACCCCGTGGGTATACGGTGTCACAACCACAATGACAACAAAACATCAACACTGGGACATCCGTCTAGTTCAAGTTACAAACACAATGATATGAAATTATTTATTTTCCCCCCAATATTTTGAGGACAGATTTATTTTGGATTTAGAAGTAGGGATATTCCCCATCTTCCCCTTATGTAATTTTCCTGACCACCTCCCAATCACAAGCCACCTCTGTCCTATTTTCTTTCTTTTCTTTTTTTTTCTTTGCAAAAAGGGAATCTCCGTGTGTCTGATTTGGATGAAAGTAGACTTTGCCAAATCAGTTATAAATTTATTATCTTTTTTTGCATTTCATGATTGACACGATCTGATTTTTCCTCTTCAAATAGCAATCTTACGCATGGTTTTTCCTACATTGTACATGTTCCCAAGTCTTCTTAAAGTTTCAAGGTTCTTTCTTTCAAAAAAAAAAAAAAGGCGGTAATTTAAAAATAAAAAAAAATTATGGTCACAGATCCATCATATTGGAATACACTGATATAGAAAATACCCAATAAGCGAACAGGCACTTTATTCCTACAGAATGCACAGAATGTACTGTCGCATGTATTCATGTAATGTGTGAACTAGTGAAATTTTAGAGAATTGGCTGAGATAATTTAAGCATTTTCAGCCCGTACATGTATAATTATAAAGTAAAGAATTTTGCCGAAAGGCCCAGAACTCTCATAAATATCTCTCGCCAGGTCAAGCGGAGAAGGAAGAAAAGATATCAGGGCTTGAAAACATCCGACTCATCAAGCAAAACCAAACCTCACAATAACGCTAATACAAAAGGAATTCCTTGGATCAAAGGGCCCAAAATATCGGTGGAATTTGCTTTTTTTTCAAACCTGGGCTTCCTGAATACAACACGTGGGCTGAACCCTTCCAAGCGCACGTGGGGAATCTTTTTGTTCCCATTGTGAGGTCCAGATGTGGCACAATAATGGTGTGTTTCACAATGCCTGTCAAGTTTTAATTTATGTGTGTGGTGGGTTATACATGTAGCTGTAGTACCAGTTACCGGAATTACAATCTGATTTTCCTTGGTTAAAGAATCTTCACTTATTTTCACATAAAAAGACTTCCTTTTTTGTGGTATTTTCCCCGCACCCATGGGTTGACAATGTCAAACAGCGGAAAACACAAAAGGCACGTGGCAGCTTTTTTTTCAATTCAAACCTTGAATTTCCATTGTTTTGCTGAATCTCGTAATGCACAGTCATCCAACTGCTCTGTTCTTGGCATTCTTGATTTTTTTGTCCCTCTGCACTATTTTCATTTTAGCTCTCTTCCCAAAAACTTAATTCCAACAGACATAATATTTCTCTGGACCATTCTCATTTCAGCTCTATTTCCAAAACTGTTTTCACATGCACGATAAATGTACATAATTCTTCCATTATGACTGAATTTAAGTGTATTTTTTTAGGAACCTTCCTAAATCCATGAAAAATTACAAATATGAGAGTAAAGTTCTGATGGATGGAGGGTAGCTTTTACATGTAACAGCATGAATCTGTACGTAAAAGGTTAAAAGACAACTTTGAAATTGACTCGTTGATAATGAACGGTGTACCGGTACATGTACCGTACGTTTTGCAACTAAAAATGAACAAACCACCAGAATTGCAGAGCCAAGAATTAAATCAATCCAACAAAACATTCCACGCTGTCACTCTGCATTAAACGACCTTGATCATTTTGGTATGGATTAGACCAAAATAAAATCCTTAATCTGTACATGGTTGGTATTACTACTAGCAGTAAGCAGGCTGTTTGAGACATCAGGAGCTGGGGGCATGGCTTGACATTCCCCTCGTCCCAATGACCCGGATTTGAATTTCGTACAGGTCTTCATCATACGTAATGTACGTGATGGGGGTTGGGCTTTTCTTGTCCCTATGAGGGGGGGGGGGGAGGGTAGTGGTTCCAGATTTCCAATCATATTATTTCTTAGTGAGTGGAGAGTTTTTCCCCAAAGCTAATTTGTTTTCTCTAGGTCAAGTGTGCATGGTACATCCTTTAGGTTTTAATGACAGAGAGCAAAGTTTAGTTTTGGCACTCAGGTACAAGTAGTAATTAATCAAATCAAATTACCGTACATGTACAATGTAACGTTTCATAATGTATACGTATAATGTACCAGTACGCTTATACTACCATGGATTCTGCACTGCCTTGTCAAATTTTATGGAAACAAAATGCATTTGAAGTCTGGTTACATTGTATATAACCTTAAGACAGACTGCAAGTATACACATTATGTGCGTATAATTGATTTTTATATGTACATGTACATGTATGGTTGCAAAAATACGGAAATGTGATTTAACAGACACTTTTGTTGAGATACCCAACAGTCATATCTGAAAAAAATAAAAACATGTTTAAGCTGAAGTTATTTCTGAAACTACTACGTGACTGGACTCAGTAAACACAGATATCCCCATCGATGAAGATGCTATAACCAACTGATAACATAGCGCGTGACACCAATTTCCTGAATGGGGGTTGTGGAGGTGATGACCCATTGCACAGACTGTTTCCTGGATTCCTACTGGATTACAAGTTCCAAAGATGAATGAACTGTAAACAATACAGTCATGATACTTGGCAGTGAACATCATACATGAGGGTTAACAAGGGTCACCTGAGATGTCTGTATTATTGTTTGTGGTTCGTCGACACTGCACTCGTATTAAACCAACATACAAGCGTGGGCATTTACGAGTGAGCCATTTGTGGCAATGTAGCCATCAACTTGAGCTCGTTGTTTGATTAAAATGTTCTCCAACTTTCTACAGAGTCTTGTCATGCATCACTTGGGAGTCAAACTTGAGCATGTCTCAGAAGTGAGCCCAATTCCCAATCCCATGGACTCTAAATCAAACAGTGGGACTCGGACATGAATCCAGACATCTTGTTTGGGCTTGGCCTCGGTGTGCAAAATAGCTCACTGCTTTGCAAAGAACTTAATTCAGATCTAAGATTGTAGTAAAGCGTGATTTATTAGCAACCCCACTCCAAGCTTGTTTTACCCCTCAAATGCCCCCCTTTTTTTCCTCAAAAGCCCGCCCTTTACCACCTCCCCCCCCCCCCCCAGGTCATTCCACCCAGGACTATTTTGTCCTGCCACTAAATGAAACAACCTCGATCACACTGCCCCATCAATCAAACTGGGAGGGGAAAAAGCCCTTGACAATCACCCACTCCAATCCAATAAGGGGGCATATCGGAAGTAATTACTTAGACAAGGGGATATGTTGAGCAAGTGGTATGCAGGGAATTCCAGGGGACTTTCGCAACCTCCCTGCTTGCTGATTGAGGACGTGATTGACGACCAACACGTTAGTTAGGGATATTGTATCGCCCTGACACTTTTTTAACAGCCAATGTATACAAACAAGTCTGGCTGATGAAAACGTAATAGTTTTCTTTCCTTTAGTTTATTTCAACAACAACAAAAGTTGAAGCATATTTCCATTGCCATTTACCTCCTCATAAAATCAATTTCACGTCTCCCATATTTCTTCATGCCAACCAATTAGGAAGGAATCTTGCATATTGATAACTGAAAAAGCACACAATGTAAACAGAACTTCCGGTCTCTCTATCATTCATTCCGAATACCGCAAACCCTTTTGCCTGTACATACGAGTCATCCGACGTGAACTGGTTATTGAATCGGTCTATTGGGGAAGGCAAATTAAGCTTATTAATTTGCTCTAAAATTAATTTTAAGCACTGCACATACCACCACAATATGGCTGACAACTTGCTTTCACTGAGCAGATATTTCTAGTGCTAAGCAATTAAACTTGTTCTGCATTGAGCAGCTTCACGAAATCGGTCCCGGATGTGAAGTATGCCACGGTAGAACAATAAAAGTAACCAATCCTAAATATAGAAGGCCATCAAAATATCATGTGACAACTTTATTTTGCCGACAAGCGTCAGGTATGTCAGGCATGCGCGTCCCACTTACAAAATTGATAAATTCCAGTCTCTGGGAGGCCAGAATAAACAAGTAATAATGAAGTCTCTGTCATTTTTATAATGCTGCTTTACATCTAGCAGGTATGTAGGACAGTACCGTACGTCATTGGAAAGTTATTGCCAACCGACACTACTTTTTCTTTCCAACGATGCTGTGGTTTTCATGGGGGGTGGGAGAGGCAGCGAGGGGGTGTCAGCAAATATGTTGCCATTTCCTTTCTTGCATACATGTACATGTATGTATGCAAAACCACAATGATTATCTATTGAACTCCTGGACTCAAATTGGGCTTGCTCTGTTTGATTTATGTAGCATTCAATTGCTTTGTAACTTCAAGAATTCCCAACTTCCGACCATGAGACTGGAACTTGTGGGTGTATTATGTTCCCCCACTCCCCTTGTTCATGTTTGTTCTGGGTCAATAGCTAAATGACTATTGCTGTGTACACTTGTAAATGCCAGGCTGAAAAATTCCGTCACAGAATACCGCCACCTGATAGTTTAATAGTGGAACCTGTGATATGATGGGGATTGAACCTTGATGGCTTGGTGTAATTGCCGGGAACCGTGCTGCTAGGCACTACCCGTGGAGTAACCAGGGTGGGCCAGAGGGTGAAGAATAGCATTGGTAATTTTTTCCTTTCACCCACCGACTACGGAGGTGATAATGAAATAGCCTTAAGGGTCAGGGTATACTGGATCCCCTTGCCAAATTGGAACCAAATCATCCTAAATGAATAATGGGCCTCTCAAAAACTCATTCATGCAATTTACGACCGGTAAACTTTCACCCTATCCTGAGATCCAACACGGCTGAAAAGAGATATTGGATCTGCAGAATAAACCTAGCTGTGTGTTCATATACCTCTTTGAAATTGAGCTATGTATGTATTGAACCTTTATCCTCTTTCTTATAGTTTCGGCACACTTCTTTCTGAAAGTGAAAACGGCACTTCAAAGAGACCCAGCAGTGACTTGACAAAAACAACAAAGGAGTACCTTGTTAATACTACTTATTGTGGGTTCGGCAAATTGTGCAAGATATCAGTGTCTTACAGTTACACTCTGAGACACTCCCCCCCCCCCCCTACTCACCACACACAAAACACAATGAGTTGAAGTCAAACTACAGAACAAGACAGGAGAAAAGGAACAAGACTTTGAAAGGGCTGGGAACAATGACAAGCATGCTGAGACACCCAGGGGTGGTTTCAGCAGGTTCAACACATTGGACAAACTGGGCTATTGGAGTTGTGGGGCTTCTTTTATCTTCTTCGGCATTTGATATTTGATGTAACCTGGTGTCACTCACAATGGTTATTGCGTGTACATTTTTGTGGTTGTTGCACAGTATGTTTGAGTCAAAAGAACAAGGGAATGTTATGGCTGACAGGAATAACTTTCTTTTGAAGAAAGTAACCTAACAAGGCATCAGATTATCAAGACAAGCAGTGGTGTTGAATGAGGAACGGAAGTCTTCCGAAACAAAACATAATTTTTTATTCTAAAGAGGGATCCGGAGATAACGTCCATTCCTAGCATTCCACATATTTTTCACTAAAGATGTGTGACCTCTAAAAAATGTTGACTTGCAAAAGTGAAACTACACACAATGTACATAACGAATAAGGAAAACAAAGAAAAGATATTTCCATCACAAGTACATGTAGGCCTACATACAATGTATGCCCATTTCCGTCATATGAAAACCACAGATCTTTGTGTAAAGGGCATAATGTAAAGAAATCTTAAAACTTCATTATCCTAATGCCGGTACGTACCGGTAAGCTCAAGTCCTTGAATAAACCCACGTCTTTGAATCATAAGAAACAAAAGATATTACAATTTTACATTTTTGCTAAGCCCCCCCCCCCCCCAAAAAAAAGACAAATTATATGTCAGTCTACTGAAGATGTCTTTCTTTAAATATCAAAATAAAGAAGCAGGAACCAATACCTTTTTCTTTAAATACAATGTAGGATGATTATTAATTTGTCTAACCATTAGCAAATCAGACTATACATTTAAACGGTCAATTGTCCCCCCAAAACGATTTCAAATTAACAAAGCAGGAAGTTTGAGTCCGAAACAAATAAGGAAACTGATTGTGTTGATGTGTTTATTTTTTTCTTACCGGCGCTGGTACAAATGCGTCTAATGGGAAGAGTTGTAACACCGCCTCCAAAAGCTCAGGAATGCCATGACCTGAAAGCAAAGATCCAGAAAACAGGATGAATTCATTCACAGAAATATGGGAAAAATGACAATTTGTCAATAAAAAACAAAGGAAACCTCAAAAACAGAAAGGGAAAATCCCCATCAATCACTCTTCATGGAATATTCATTGAAGGTGTCCAATTTCAAGAATTGACATTGTCTAGATGAGCATTTCAGGCAAATATTCAAATAATTAATTATGTTAGGAGAGGGAAATAAGAGAAACCACAATTCTGATAACAGAATTTGTGACAAACACACTGAAAATTTCCCCAAATTTTCAGATGACCTTTAATGTATCACTATTACAAGAAGATAAATTTCTCTTGTCTAATCCTCCATTCAAAGAATTCACTGAAATGTACGGAATTTTAAAAATGTCATTTACCACTTAACTTTGCAAACTCTCAATGGTGTAGGGTTTGAAATTCTTTCTTTATGTAAATTCCACAATAACGAGGGGGTGATGTTTTCAGTACCAATTCAAACTAAGTTGATTTCAAACATGATTGGTTTACTTACCGTCTGCCCTGATCTCACGGGGTCCAGCTCTGCACACGCCACTGGATGGAAAATTAGCATCAGCCAGGACTGTAAACGATGAGGAAAAATAATTAAATAAAGAGAAATAAAATTTCAAACACAAACAACAGATGTCACTGGGACATACATGTAGCCTTCTCAGCTAACATCAATTTTGACGGAGATTTAAAAACTGAATATGTGTTTTTTGTATACATTTTCTTAAAGGAAATATTTGCTTTTGCTTTAATTTTCAGAAATGAATGAATTTCGGGGTTAGTGTGTTATAGCAAATATTGTTGGACTGCCCTGTGTAAAGTTTTGTGTTCATAGATACTGGGGGATAAAAACAAGAACAAAATGCTGTTCCTGTAGCCTAGTTCCCTGACCCTACTTCAGACAAATCGAGGCAATTTGTAGACATCGGGGAATTGTTAGGACAATGAACCAGACTAGCTGGCTGACACCCGTTTGCGACTTTGCGGATGTGTAAATGCAAACCAAATGTGAACTAACTAAATTTGGTAAACTGGGGACAGTATTGAAAAAAAGTTAGGTTTTTCCAATTATGGTTGTCCGACCATCGTTGGAAATTGATCCAAAAATTCCACTATTCTTGAAAATGACAGCACACCAGGTGCCAAGATATCACAGGATGCTTGAGACTATTATGCACTTACAGTCAAGTAAGGTATTTCACAATAATTTGGTAGTTTTGTGTTTTGATGTTTGCAAATGTTGTAGGATTACCTTTAAGCAAAAGTCTGCAATAAAATGGTGTTGGGAGCTCTAGCATAATCACATCAGTACAAAAACTAAAACTAAATTCTGTAGAGAAAATCCCCTCACTTCCAACTTTCCTCTCTTCCCAACTTTCCTGATTAAATGCTTCCATACAACTCCCGCGAAACCATTTTTTTTTGGGGGGGGGGGGTCTCAGTGATTATAAAGAATCCCCTGTCTCCTCTCTTTTATACAAAGTTGTCACTTCCTTCACTCAAAGAGGCCACCAAGAAGTTTACCTCCCATTCAGCTAAGCCACAACTTTGTGGTTACTTCATCCTTAACGCTGCCCTTGTCAAATATAAAAACGAAACTGATTCATCAATTAAGAAAAAAACCGGCAACTTCCTGAAGAAAGGGGACACACACATGGGCAGGCCAACACCAAACAAGGGATAAGTCCTGAGAACACTGGTGGCTTTATGCCCGGTCTCAATACTACATGCAACATCACCGAAGCACAAAGACAGGAGAGCTCCGTGAAAAGAAATGACAACATCAGTGAAGTGGCCACAGACAATGGGACAACAATAGTACACCTGTAGTACACCTGTAAAGAGGGGCTTTAGGTTGTTTAATTGGGAAATTGGCAAACAGAGAAATACAATACAGGTTAAGGAGGAGAATCTTGTGACATGTGGTTGTTAGGGGGATTCGTATGAGGCCATACATTTAGCAAGAGCAGACTCATATGATTTATCGTTTCACCAGAAGTTGTCAGAAACACATTGCTCGATGACAGGTTGATAAATTTCAGATTCAAACTAGCCAACCAATTTTGGTGGTCGAGTGATAAGACCTCTGCTCTAGAAAGCAGGAGGTCGTGGGTTCGAGTCCCACCCGAGTGATTTTTCCAACTATCACTCAGGAGGTTACACACTGAATATACAGTGTTTATACGTCTTTGAAGGGCAAAAACCTAGTATTGATTTACACTCACCCCAACGCAAAATTCCATCTTATGAATAGGTTGATAAATGGTAATCACGGTCAGATGTGAAAATGGCTGTTTCAGACAGGCCTTTAGAGGATTTTTTTTTATAACTTGAGAGTAAAGCTATTTTTCTCTTTCAGCCTTTTAAGATGCGTGATGTACAACCCTATACAATGGAACACAGAGGATGTGAACGGAAAGATTTCAATTAATTAATGTACATTTGTCTTTTGAAAAAATATAACCGAGAGTGGATACCTGTTCATCTCCTGTTTGTTTTGGTAGTGACTGTAAACAATTACTTTGCCTCCACGTTCAATTTAAACAAACAAAAAAATTGACTACGTAATTTCCCATCATATACGCCCACATCATGGCCACAATCAATCAATTAATGATGTCAACAATCCTTGGTCACCATGGCAGTCACGCTAACACCGCTAGCACGAGATGACATCGGCAGTACGAGATGACATCATGAATCTAGATTCCTTGTGTCCCGTGAACCCATTGTCTTGCATAAATTTTGGACTAACTACCGGTAACACCATAAACAGGAATAAAATAACTAAAACCATAAAACCAATAAGACCATAAACGGAAATTTCAATCTGTGCTGGGATTGGGAAATGGTTTCAATTAATTCTTTTTCTTTTTAAAGGGGGGGGGGAGACAGTAGTCCATTTCCTGTAGAGTTCACTGAAAGTGCATAGCCAGCCACTTGTTTTCATCACGAATACAAACAGTACCGGTGTCAATATCACCTCTATCATTGTTTTGCCTGGAATATTTTGCCAATAGGTTTCCTGTAATCCTGTCCTACGCTACCCATATTTTATGACGACTAACAACTGTCGGAGAGTTGGCCTGAAGTAAAGAGTTGGCCAAAAGAGTACATTGTACATGTACATACTAAAGGTCACAATGAGGCAGAGAGAGTGTCACTTTAAGGCACAATAATAAGGCACTATAATGTATAAAAATGCAGATGTTGGCATTCTGTATGATCATTCCAAAGTCACTTTTCCTGCCCCCTCAATTTTTCCTGAACGCCCTCTTGATTTCTCTCCCTTCTGACTCTTTGGTTCAATAGTTCAAGGAAGTGTTTGCCTTTGCTGGTTTCAGAAGATGAGAATACCAGGGGTAAAATGCAAGGAACAACACAAAACAAAATGGAAAAAATATTGACAAGGATCAAAACCCCGCTAGTGGCAGTAATTTTCAAATAAACCACATCCCCCACCTCAGTGTCCTTGTAATTTCCCTTTTAAACATCGCCTCCCGTTCTAATTTCAAAACATCCGTACGATGTCGTACCCTGTCAGGATATTCTGTAGTGGGGACAACACATCCTCTACCAGTAATTAGCACACAAATTCCGGTCAACTCAAATGACAATTCCATCAACCAACTCAGTCCAACTTGTATAGGCCCCTATAATTCTAAGTGCAACTTGTTTCAAACTCAGTAGGAAATTCTGAATCTGCATAGTTCTAGATAATTACTAAAACACAAAAAGAAAAGACAGCTTAACTCATTTTGTACAAAATATTCCATGAATTTAAAATTGCTTCAAATGTAATTGGTTTGGCACAAAATGGGCTTAACTGGCAGGAATAACCAGAAGGATTAGCATGTAAATGTACACAACTGAACAAGTCAATCTATTAAATGGTGTTGGTGTTGGTACAGTTTATACCTACATCCTCAGCTTTTGATTACGTTCTTACAGTACGGTAAATTCTTTCCTCCGCAAAAATCAAATAAGGCGCACGGAGCCGCAGCTGAACACTGACGTCAGAATTCAACCGGTAGGCGTGGGTGTCAATGTACATGTGGCGTAGGCCCATTCTTCACCCCCCACACTACAGTACATATGTATTTACTCTATAAAGAGCACAACCGCAAAGTTTTACGTCCCACAACAATGAAGAGGATATTTTTTTTTTCATTGATCCAAAACACGACCGTCGTCTGTCGATTAATGACAGTGCAGTGCGACCTCTGATTAGCACCCGGCCAACATCAATATTTAAACACTTGCGGTTACAATGTCCATGTACAAATGTACACCCATTTCTGGATATAAAGTAATTTTTTGTTCTTTTTCTGTCCACTGCCCAAATACAGTAAAGTTCACGCCAATGCTACCAAAAGTTGAAAGGAGGAACAATGTATTTTTGGACATGGTCTTCAAAGTGATTGCAGCTAAGCAGCCTGTGTATGAAGGCGTGTACTTGTGTACCGGTAGCTCTCAATTGAATTACAAACATACTAGTATCTTTCACAAATATAGCGTCCATTCACTAGTAGGTTAGACCAGGCAAACAGAATTGGCGACTCGAAATACACCTGACACCACTTGACTCCAATGGAATGTGAATATACATGTACATGTAAAATAAGACACACAAAAGTTAATAATAAACTGACAATAATAAAAACACCTGACATGGCTGATAAAGGTGGGTGTATGAACAGGTATTTTATCTTTGAATTCTGCGGTCACCCCTTCCCCCCCCCCCTCCACCCCCTCCACCCCAACTGGTCTCCAAACGGAAAAGGAATCTTAAAAACACATTGTTGACTTGTACAATAATTGCATGACCAATGTCCAGATTGATATGCACAGTCTAATTTACCTTTCTTCACTGAATGGATGTCTACATCTTGAATCCTTGATTCTGAGAACTTGGTGATTATAACCAGAACAAAGCAAACAAACATTGGTCCTCTAGTTCTATGTTTAGGGGCAGTGAAAAAGGAACTTTTCTTGTGTGCGTTTGCGGGTGCGTGTGTTTATGCCACACTGTGGTATTTTCGTAGGCCCTCGATTTTTTCGTTGGCCTCCAAATTTTTCGTAGGCCCTAGGACAGTGCCTACTGTGCCTATTGGATAATCGGGGCTTGATTACACGCAGTACTGCAAAGGGAAATCCAGTCACAAGTTCTCAATTCTTTCCACTTCAGTCTGCAGTGGCAGGAAAAAAAAAGACCTGAATCACCAACTTGATCAATTCTGCTCATCTAAATATGCTCAGGTAACCATGGCGACCGCATCTTTTGAAACTCAGTGCACACGGCATGACACATATTTTATTTTTAACCAGTGACAAATCTATGTTTATCAAAACGATTATTAAGAACAAGACAGAGATCTGAAGGAAGGCCCACACATCATGACACATCCAGTCAACATCTTAAAGAGTACTATAGAAAGCATTAATTTCTCAAGTATAACCTGATGCTAGCAGGCAGAAAAACAAAGTGACGCACCATGACGTGTCACTGCTACAAACTTCCGCTCTCATTCAAGGGATGAACTTTAGACATTTGTAATTAATAAAGGTGCG